TAACCACTATTCATGTTTATTAACCCATATTATCCCATGGAATATCCACGTGTTATCCCATTGTTATTGGGTTTATGAACCACTATATACCACCATAGCTATTAAAAAGGACCATCGAAATTGTTGATTTACCCAGCTCTAAAATGGTGATGTTCCATAGTTATGTAAACGTTTACCAGAGGATACCTGTAGTTGGTTGACGTTACCCACGCTGCATATATAACAAAGAATGCTATAGATATCCCATTGGGGTGAAATCGCTTCGGAATCCGATCAGCATGAATCATCCGCGCTATCCGAAGAGATTTTTTTTTTGCAGTTGAAGCAAGTACTTGTTGACAGTCTTTGTTGTGCTTGTCTGTTAAAATTGAAACCACTTTGTAAGTTTCATATGCTTTCTATACGATGATCATTGCTTGGTAACGTTCAAAAAAACGCCCGTTGTGGGATGTTGTGGGCCATGCACCAGGACATGACCCATTCTTCCGACAGGTCCTTGTAGCAGCCGGGCTCATCCGAAACAAAAAAACCTGCTTTCCTCAGATTGCAGAAAAAATGGGAGTGGAAATTATCATATTTTTTGCGTGTCTCTTTTCAGAATGCCACCTTTCAGACCTTTCACCATTGTTTTCAGGTGTATCCAACATGTCCTATTTTGGATGACTCGGGGTGCTCGCGACTTAGGGAACTCCCACGAATCAACATCTAGTAAGTAGCTGGTTGGTGGTTTTAACCATCTTGAAAAATATGACAGTCAATGGGAATTATCCCATATATTATGGAAAATAAAACATGTTCCAAACCACCAACCAGATTTCTACATGTCTGATTTATCATGGTAGCCCTTCCATCAACTGAAGGAACTCACAGCATTTGCTTGAGGTGGCCTGGAAAACCAAAATATACAGTACCCTCTGGTAAACTAACATAGCTATGGAAAATCACCATGTTTCATGGGAAAATAAACTATTTCAATGGCCGTTTTCAATAGCTATTTTGACATAACCAGAGGGTAAGGTATTCAAAGTACACATTCCATCACATTCCCATAACTTTGATTCCCCGTTTCTGGGCAAAATTGTCACTTCACATCGACTGAATATTTTTCTTTGGGAATTGAAACGTCAATCTATATTATATGATTGGAAATGATGTTTCCGGCGACCGAACTAAACCTCCATTTAGTTCGGGGATTGTCCAAGTGCAACATTTGATTACCAGGGGGCAAATCCATTGATATCCTACTACTGTATAATTATCCCATATCAAACATTAAAAAAACATATTTGTCATTCACCACAAAAAAAAAAAACATCATCTGATCTTATCGAAGTTCATCACCAGAGGCTTACCCATAGGCTCCATGTATGGTATATTTACCTACATTTGGGTGATTTTGTTCAGGCAAGTGTTGGTACAGTAAATATTCCATACATGGAGCATATGTCTCAGCAAATCCCAAGAAACAGTGGCATCAGGAGAATCCTCCTGCGACCCTCACTGCTTTGGATCTTGTTCCCAGGCACTTGACCACCGCCAATCCTTTGTCTAAGAGCCACCGCTTAAGAATTGGGAATAAAAATCCATGGTCTAAAAACAGTCAATAATAATGAGATATAGTAGGAAATTCATGGGAGCAAATGAATCAGGGAATATCATGGGATAGAAAGAAATATATCTATGTACATAAATATATGTGTGCACGGTATGCCGATATGCCCCCGTTCGATAGCGAAGTTGGTTAACACGACTCTAGTTTCAGTAGGACTTGTGGTAGATATATCGAACTAGTTAATAGGGTTATAAAATGTTATAAACCAATAAACATAACTGGGGGCCGGGGAGGGCACTACATAGTATATATATATATAACTATATATTACAAATATATATAACTACATTTTATCATATCATTGGATATCTGTCTATCTATCTAAGTGTCTGTAGCTAGGATGAATCCATGCAGTACTGTATCAGACTGCTTCGTCGCTTCGTCTACTTCCTGTCATGCTACCAGTTACCAGATAGTAACCATCATCTTCAGACAAATTAAGTAAAAGCATCGCTTTACAAAGAGGTGGATGTTTACCTAGACCCCCCAGCATCCCAAAAGCAGTGGACCTTGGTTTTCAACCTTGCATCTCTTGGTCGAACAACTATTTGCCCGTTCTATGATGAGGTGTTTTCCAAAATTGCAACTAAGAGAAACTGATTAGAATCCATTGACATTCTCCCAATATGATCCGTTTTTCAGACACCGGTACTCGAACATGGATATGGAAAATCCACCATTGAGTTCAATGCTTTTCCCATTCAAACCATCATTTAGTTATATGGCAGTGTGTCAAAACCTTGTACCCCTGGTGAACATCAAAATAGCTGGTAAATGGATGTTCATCCCACGAAAAATTGTATTAATAGGTATTGACCCATACCCATATTTAGTTCAGGATTCCCCAGCTGTTTCATGACACCGGTGAAGGTCCCCCATGAGCCGATGCTATGAACAAACCGTGGCTCTGTGCAGGACCCTCGTGTACATTGAGATAGGCTCCAATGCCATGGCCAGTCCCATGTCCATACTCCATGCCGTCCTGCCATAAAGGTCTTCGCGCAAAGGCATCCAGGAGCCTTGGGGAAGGACGTTTCTGAAACAAAAATCACCGAAATTGGTCGAAATCCTTTCTCTTTGATTATTTTGATGATCCTCTTGTCGACCGTTTGGCGACTTCACTTCTTCATTACCCATGGTTTTCAGCAAAAATAGTGAACAAGCAGGTAAGACAATGAAATCCCATCCAAGATAACAATAAACAAACGCCCCGACTTCACCATGTTTGTCACTTTTTCACCATGTTTTTTTCCGCGTTTGTCCGTGGTTTCACCCATGGTTTTCCGAGCCGCAAGCCACAGGTGCCTTCCGGAAAGACGGCCGTCGCCAAGGCCAGGTGGCCCTGAAGAACCCGGCTGTAGAATCGCTTTTGCTCCTGGCCAGGTGAAGGATGGTTTAGGACTATGTATATATATATATAGATAGATAGATATTTGGAAAAAAAAACAGATCTATTTTGTCTATATATAGATGTCAGTTTTGTGGATAATGATTGGAGCTATGAGCTACGATGAAAACACGATTTAATCGTGAAACGTGGACGAACATTGGGATTTCACTGTCAAACATTGGGATTCATGGTATTGACTACCCTCTGGTAAACTAACATAACTATGGAAAATCACCATTTTTAATGGGAAAATCCACTATAAATTTACTATAAATGGCCATTTTCTATAGCTATGTTAGTCATTACCAGAGGGTAGGTCCACGGTGACCTGATGGCTTTAGGCATATTTGTAGGAATTTGTTTTTTCGACCTTTGGTGTGTTTTTTTTCCCCGGGGTTGTGGATTATCAATGTGGAAGTCACGCTAAAACCTGTGTAAAACCCAACATCAATTCGTCTCACGTCCTCAAATCAAGGGGGACGGCGGCAACATTTGGGGGAATATCCCCTGCAAATCCTGTAAAAAAAAGTTGGGGTTACCCTCTGGTTATTTAACATAGCCTGAACATTCCTTCGATCAATTATTTTTGGTAGTTTTGGAGTATGACCTAAAATGACCCAGTTTTCAGAATCTCGTCTAATTTTACTAGTTTGCCTGGTTTTGCTTCCTAGTGGCCACACTATCACTACAAGTGACATTTTGAATATGACTGAACATGGCTTGCATCCTGGCTGCGTCCCAGGGACATACCAGGCCATTCTCGTATCCCGAGCACCAACGCATATAAATGCACATAACTGCGCCCAAAATTACCCGCAAAACGCCCGCAAAAATCCGCAAAACGCCCGCAAAAACCCGCAAACGCCCGCAAATCCAAGAATCTGGTAAATTTGTATAATTTTGGGAGCGCGCAATTAAACAGAAACCAGCTTGGATGTGCAGATTGAAAGGAAAATACTGGTGAGAAGACTGGGAGGAAGGCCATGCCGATGGGAAACACAGCCATGACATACCACGCCTAACTTTTTGGGAAAACGCTCGGTACGACCATAAATTTGATGAAACGCTTGATTGTGCAAAACGACTGATATTTTTTAGGAGTTGGAAGGCCCAGGAGCCATGGAAAATCACCATTTTTAATGGGAAAACTCACTATAAATGGCAATGTTCCATTACTTGTTTCTTGAATGAAAAAAAACAGCGCGAGATGCAGATTCGCAAAATAATCCATGCCCATTTAGCACCGTGGTGCCGTGGGATTTTAAGGGTGGGTTTACCAGGGAAATTGAAGCAATTAATGGTGGCTGCTAGGGCTAGGGGAATGAACCAACAGAATTTTTTTGTGCGTTGCACAAGGAAACAAGGATTTTTTTCCAGAAAACCAACAACAAACTTCACAGAGGAGATGTTGTTTCAGAACCACATTAGTATAGTATATATAATATATATCCATCCATAATCTTTATGTAATCATCCAAAAAGTGGAGATATGATACAACTGATTCGATGGATGTTTGGATGGACGCTTGCAGGCACTGGCAGGCATGATGTGCGAGATGGGAGACTGTCGGATTTGAGAATCGGATTCCATGGTAGTTTCTAAATCCCTCCAGAACAGTTGCTGGTTGGTGGTTTTAACAATGGTTAATGATGGTTAATAGTGGATTATCTGGTGGATTATATATTATATATATGGTTGGTGGTTTTAGCCATCTTGAAAAAAATATGAAAGTCAATGGGCATGATTATCCCATATATGCAATGGACAATAAAAAATGGTTAAAACCACCAACCAGGTTGTGATGCTTGTCCCAAATGAGGGTCAGAAATATAACGAGCCGCTAGGAACCATGAGCAATATTCCAAATCCCTTGAGTTAGACAGTTGTTATGCATCTTCATATTACATTTTAGTAATCAAAGATGGAAATGAACATTCATCATGCATGATGAGTAGTACAAGTGCGATGGTTGACTGAACTGAGCAGCTGCTCTGAGCAACGCAAATTTTCAACCTCTGTCGGTGTCCCAAAATGCACCGTGCGCGTGACATCGGTGGTGCCGTCTTGGTACTGCCCGCCGGTATCCTTGGGAGGTGGGCGCGGCGGCCTGTTTTCACTACCACCCAACGTTGCACCGCGCGGCCAGTTTTCGTGATATGATGGGTACTTGGCAATGCATCCGAAGTAAGTGATGAATAACCATCATAACCATCATAATCATCATCTATGAATAACCATCATAACCATCTATTACCAGCATCTATGGGCAATCTATGCAAACCTGGGGTACTTCCCATACTCAGTGACCTAGATTGCCATCCATTGCCATCGGGGTTTCAAGGGGGAAACCCCACAAGTCACCAAGTCGGTTTCAATACTGACATGGTCCAATGACTTGGATGAGAACTGGCGGTACCACCATGACTTAGGAAACCTCCATGAAAAACCTACAATGTGCCCCCCCCCCCCAGTTATAAGTTGGTTTAGATTCGCCCCAGTAACTATAGTTATAAGCACCATAAACCATAGTTATTGGAGTTATAAACCAACTTAGCTATCTTGGGGGCCTCACATTGTATAAATCCATATAAATCCCATGAAATCGGATTTAACCAGCAATTTCATCCGCATTTTTCTTGGCAAAATCCCTTGGCAAATCCCATCATTTTGATGGTAAACCGAAGCACAGTCACCATCCCCAGCATGGCAGATATCCCGGACCATGGGGATCAAAGTCCCCGACGGTCTGTTGCTTATGCGATATATCTAATCATGTATATATATATATATATATACGTATATACATACTATAATTAATATAATCTAAGCCAAGCTAATCTAATCCAATCTAATCTACATCATTCTGTATATATATATATCTGTTATATACATATTATCTACTATTTCTTTGGAATAAAAGGCCTTTTGTTTACACATCCGAAAGGTCAACGACTTTGGAGCAAACTGGAGACCCAAGTGGCTATTGGTCAAAACCCTGGCACCTAGTGAACCCCAAAATAGCTGGGATTTATGGATGTTCATCCCATTAGAATTGATAATAATAGGTTACAATTGGTTATAAGTGGGATTATACATTCTATAAATGGGATTTTGTGAGTACTTATAACTGGTATAACTCGGGCCATAACTGTGGTAACTGCAAGTCGACCCAAGTCTCAATGAGGCCCTTTACCAGTTTTAAGTACTTATAACCCCATTTATAGAATGTATAATCCCAGTTATAACCAATTATAACTAATAAATTGCCATAACTGCAAGTCGACCCAAGTCTCAATGAGGTACATCTCGTCCTTGGACAACTTCTTGCAGCTCGCCTTTTCGGGTTTGTAGTGCACCACCGACGTGTTGGATCCCACTGATGAGATGGTGTCGAAACTATCACCTTCGGACGGAGAACGTTTCGGTGCTGGACCAAAAAACGGTGCAAAAATGGAGCTTTCAATGGGAAGTCCCCTAGAAAATATGGGAAATTCATTGGAAACTATGGGAAGATTATGGGAAAATATGGGAAGATTGTGGAAAAAACATGGGAAATTCATGGAACATCCTCTCTAAATGATGGTTTATAGCTGGGAAAAAGATGGGTACCCTGCGGTCATAGGGATATTAATGGGATATGAATGGGATATGACCACTAACCAACTACAGTATTGGACTAGTAGCTATTACCGGAGCATAATTATCGGAAGAGTATTGAATTTCATTGGATTGCTGCAGGGATATAACTGGGGATACATCCGGTAATTTGTTGCCGTGTGCGAACTGGAAGCCATGGCCCATTTAGTTGAATGATTTACCGAAATTAAACATTGTGATTCTCCACAGTTAATTATACTAAACTACTACGTCAAGTTGTGTATATATATATGATATTATATGATTAGATGTGTGTAATCATGACAAACAATAATATGGTTAAACAATGTTAAAACAACAAACGATCCCGTTATATAACCAGCCATTTGGAGAACCTCTATTGGGGATAGTTTATTATTGGTTTTACCACATTACTGAAGATATATCATGATAGATGAAAAATGGACATCCAACCAACATGGCCGCTTGTTGATACCCCTCCCTCCAAAAAACATGTTTAGTACATAGATCCTCATCAAAATAACTGGTTGGTGGTATACCTACCCGTCTGAAAAATATGAAAGTCAATGGGAAGGATTATCCCATATATTATGGAAAATAAAATTCATGCTCCAAACCACCAACTAGATAACAAAAGACTGCTCTCCTGCGAACAAAAACATAGATGTGGAAACTCACCATTCGTGCATCATTTCCATACCGGTTGAACCAATGGGTTTTCCACATGTACCCTCTGGTAAACTAACATAACTATGGGAAATCGGCATTTTAATGGGTAAATCCACTATAAATGGCCATGTTCAATAGCTATGTTAGGCTATGTTTGTTTACCAGAGGCTAGTCTATCCTAGGGTACAAGTAAGTTGTACTAAACTAGCCATTCAAGGTTCCCCTTGGTTGAAATCACAAAATCGAGTGCCGATAAGATCCACTTGTTAAAAACAACCACCACCATATGTCATTATGTACCATTATACATCCAGTATCATTACATAATATATGCTGTATATATATATATATATATTCGCACGTAGAAGATTCCCACGTAGAAATTTGGTTTTCCCATGTTCTTTGCCACAAAAAGGGGGCATTTTTTCCCACCAAGGGACCTACATAAAGCTCCAGTTTTCGTCTAAAGGCGGTGATCATTTCGCAGACGTCCACTTCATTGGGCAATGATGCCTCGGCAGCCAAAAAAATGCCGATGTCAGTGAACCAGGATGTTAGTTCGATGGTTTACATAAGCTATGAGTATGTTCTATCGGGTTGGGGAAATACATTTAGTTACCCTACTGTAAACTAACAGAGATGTGGAACTTAGCCCATTGGTAGATATTGTTCCTAAGGAAACCACAGTTTGTACGTAGGTTTTCCACATCTACTTCATATTTCCTGATTTACCCTCTGGTAAACTAACATAGTCATGGAAAATCACTACTTAACTTTAATAGCAAAATCAACTATAAATATCTATAAATGGGTCATTTTCAATAGCAAACTGTTCAAATTACGGCACAACTTCTCAAATTATTTCTGCAAGGTTGCTGAAGCTCCATTGGCTGCCAGTTGCTTCTCCAGCGACGAAAGGACTTGGACAAGAGCTATGGAGTCGCGTTTACACGCTCGTTTCAGGCCTTCAATCTCCACCTTGGTGGCTGCGATTGTTGGTACCATGCATGAACAAACATATGAATACGCGGAAGGTAGCCTAAAATAGCTCGGAATTATGGTTGTTGACCTATCCCCATCATGTGATGATGATGATGATGATGATGGTGGTGATGGTGATGCTGATGATGCTGATGATGCTGATGATGCTGATGATGCTGATGATGCTGATGATGCTGATGATGCTGATGATGCTGATGATGCTGATGATGCTGATGTTGCTGATGATGCTGATGACTACGGTTAAAACATCACATATATGTGTTGTATGAATATTCTTACAACATATTACATATATAATTTGATTATACATACTGACATCACACTGATATGTATATGCAAATTATAAATATATTTATATATATTACATATTATATTAATGTTATAATTATATACAATAGACTGCTTTGGATAAACTATCCAACCTAATGACGATTCGGAAAATTTGATTTCTCATCTTCCACTGGAAACTTGACGGCACATGTTTTGACCTAAGATTGGCTAGGGCCATGCTTGGTGGTTCAAACATTTTCCCCGCATTGACTCTTAAAACAAAGACAGTAGGTCTTAGTCTTAAACCACAGAGTGGACTGGAATTCCGATGAATTCCATGTTTTTTTCTTTAATGTGATTTTCATCTCCAAGCCAATAGCAATCCCCAGTCGTGCAATCACCAACGGCGTCTTTTATCTTTGTCTTTCAACGCGGCCCAGGTGCGGCGTTTTTGCAGGCCTTGAACTCTTCTACTGGAGAGATGCCCTTGACTCGCAAATCAGGTCGCACCAAACTCATTACGGCCAGCGAGGACGAGTGAGCCTCGGGATGTCATGGTTAAATCATGGACGACAAGCGTCCAATGCCGCTCGCCAAATCGAGAAATGTTCTGCGAAGTTGATGTGGCTTTTTCTAGAACTATGATCAATTGCCAGATATCTCGAACATAAGTACTGGATCTTCTAAAAAACAACAAACATATCATGGGGGGGCACAAAATGTTGAACTAAAATCGGATGAAGTCGATCTTTTGTCGATCTCCTCCGCGAAGAAAAAATATTTGGGTCAAATCAGGAAACACGGAACAGATCTTGCACGGTTAGACAATACACAATTTACCCTCTGTCAATGGATTTGATTAGGCCGAACGAAGATTTTTCATCGCTGTCAAGTTGGGATGTTCAGATGTGAATCCGTGAACAAATAGATCCACAGACTAAACCCATTAATTATCATCATCTGCATGGTGTTTTTTTAACCATCTTGAAAAATGATGGACTTCGTCAATGGGAAGGATGACATCCCATATATGGAAAATTAAATTTCCATGGTTCCAAAGCACCAAGCAGATACCCTGTGGTAAAGTAACATAACTATGGAAAATCACAATTTTTAATGGGACAACTCACTATAAATTGCCATGTTCAATAGCTTTTTGTATGTTTACCAGAGGTTAAATGATTATTGTTGGAGGTTCCTTTTAAGGTAGGCGATCCCCAACAAACAATGGAGTTTCAATATGTTCAATCATCAAATCTGGGCAAATTATAATATTTCACTAACCTGAATTAAGGCCATTTGGGGATGATTCCCCTTACTAACCATGATTTCCATTGAGGTCGCAATGAGGTCGTTATAATTTACCCAGATCAAATGGTCTATTTTGCGATGAGAACTGGGGCTACCCCCATGACTTGGGAAACCTCCTTGCTATCCCACAAGGTGGTGCCCCCGGCCACGATAGCGTTCAGTTGGCGCACATAACTCCAATAACTATGGTTTTTGTAGGTGATATATCTATAGAATCTATAGTATTCATGGGGTGAATCTAAACCAATTTATAACGTTTTTTTGGGGCACCACCTTGCATGATCATGTTCTCTTTTACAATCGGAACAAACAAGTCTGCGAATCATTCAAGTCCGAGGTTCAAACACACGGGCATGGACTCAACCCCCCAGACATGGATTCTTGTATCAAAATAGTATTCGTTTTTGGACAGTAACCCCTCATTCAATCCAAGATAATCCATGTGTGGCAAGCTAGCTATATTCAAACAAATACCTACATGATCCAACATTTAAGCCATTTCTTGTATTTTGTTGCAAACATACGACATATAGGGCATCTGGCTATGACAACTCCAGTCTGGTGTTGAACCCATCGCCTCCAGAAAGACCTTCTCATCGGGTTTCAATACTGCTCCCATCTCGGAGAAGAACCTGCGATGCTAGCGGAGATTGGACAAAGAAATCGGATCATTCAATGGATTGATCTAAGGAGCCAAAGAAAGCAATCGGTCACTCTTTGGTCGGAGTTGACTTTTCTATCTTTTTGGGGGGTTGCAAGAAAGGGAACATCTACAGGAAATCCATTTCGGAAACCACGATCTTTACCTGTAGATGTTCCTGTTGACCAATTCTGGGAAATCATATTGGGGAGCTTGCAGAACTATCATTCAGCTCTATTCAGCTTAAGTTGGTGCTTCTTAATCCTATTCTAGATTGGCAGGATCAGGATGGATAATTACACACAGCATCATCATGCAGAATCCCCAGGGGAAAAAAACAAACAAACAAACTGAAAAAAAACAAACAAACAACCAAACAACCTGACAAACAAAACAAACAGTTTACACAACTACCAAATGTGTCTTCTTCTTTTTAAAACCGAACTTCTGAAGCCAACTGACAAGGAATTTTCCTGGGATCCAACTTGATCCAACCCAGCGACAGAACGCACTTCTATGACCGAGATCTCATTGACATTAACTAAATATGATCAAACTAGATACTCAAAAGTTCATTACATATATATATATAATTCATAGGTATTCATAGACTTACAATGTACTCATCTGTGGCCACTTGACATCCATTGACATGAACCATGATTTGCAATCCAATGATCCAATGAATCCAAGTCGGACGCCACTGACCATGAGATCATCATGGATCAACTGGTTGGTGGTTTTTCGCCCTAGCCCTTTGAAAAATCATGGACTGTGTTAAAGTCAGTTGGGATGATGACATTCCATTCCCAACTTTTCATGGAAAGTCAGTCCAAATTCCATGGTTCCAGTCACCACCAACCAGTTTATTGTTTACCGGATGGCCTGTTGAAGAACCAGCATCCCATCAGACATCAACTTTGAGTCTCCAGGAGGTACTGTATAACGGATTGCTTCGAACAATTGGAACCCCTAGAAGCTTCTACAAGCCTACGGTTGATCATGATTTTCTCTTATAAATCGCCATTTTGGGGTTGCTCGGGTTCCTCTTTCTTTGATACTCACCCACATATATAGCGAATCCCAGAAGCTATAGGATGTCCCCATTTGTAAAAAGGGGAACGTTCATATAGGAGAGATTCGAGAAATCGGCCCAAGAAACCTAAGGTTCATATTTTTCCCATTGAAATCTAATGAAATAGCTGCAACAAAAATCTCAAGGTTGATTATCACTTTTCCCCATTGAAACATCCTGAAATTATCTGGAAATAACACTATTGAGGGCAACGTATCCTGGTTGATCATCATTTTCCGAATTCAAAGACTTAACAAGGGCGTGGCCTTGTGGTAATCCACCTGGGAAAACTCAACATATTTCACCAATCGGAAAAGGCCACAAAAAAACCTTCACGTCTCCGCCCCTCCAGGGAGCACCGTCTCCAACGCCAGAATTTCCATCATGATTTTTCCAACGACATCCCCCATGAATTTCTCGGTGAAATCACCAGGGCGTTGTTGGTGATTTTTCACTGGGTTTCATGGGATTTATATATGGTTAATGATGGTTATTAAATGGTTAATTCATGTTCTTATCACCGGTTTTGTTGGTAATATACTGTTAATATATGGTTAATGATGATGGTTATTATATGGTTAATGATGGTTATTATATCATCTGGTTGGTGGTTGACCTACCCCTCTGAAAAATGATGGAGTGAAAGTCAGTTGGGATGATGACATTCCCATATATGACATGGAACATAAAAGTCATGTTTGAAACCACCAACGAGATTATAATCCCCAAAATATTGGCTTGTATAATCCCCAATCATCAGCCAGATTATATCACCATTATAATCACCAGATATTTTTGATAATCACCATTATAATCACCATTAACTATAGATATATTTACCATAAACCATAGAATTCAACCACTTATAAACCAACTTAGCTATCTTGGGGGCCCCATCTTGTAGGAATTTCTCATGATTTCTCCACCCAAAATCACCGCTTCCCTCGGCTCCCTGGGCACGTGCTGTAAGGCTTCAGCGTCACCTTCGCCTGGCTGAGAAGCGTCCGGATCTCCTCGGAGACGCCAGGCCTTCCCTCGTCCAAGGCACGGAGAAAAAGCACGGCAGAATCCTGGAGCGGTGCACCCGGTGATCCACCAGGCAAAATCGCCTGGTGAACATAACTCTAATCTGAAGGACTTATGGATATATTATGGTAGATATATGATGATATCCATATATAATCATATAATATCATATATATATAAGATATCATCGAATTATATCGACCCCATATGGCGTTTGACAAACTCATAACTGGCATGGCACCACATTGCTTTGCGAACCGGCGCTTCAACAGATATGATGATAAAAGATGTTGATCAAGCCATGCGAATCGCGAATCAATGGGATATTGTTGTTGTTGTTTTTTTTTGTGAAAAATCTTGGAATATTGGAAGTATATCATGGGGATGATACATGTGTATATATAATTATATATATACATGTCTGTCTACTAAGATAATTTGTTGGGTATTATATGTCTACTAAACATCAGGTTTGTGTTCTAGAAAAGACATGGAAAAACATCATGTTCTGACCGCTTTGACGAAATTCTCCTGAAAGACCGCTGCATAGGCGAAGAACACAGGGTTGTACTCAATATCTGAACCTGGAGCCGAGGAGCTATGGATGGTTTTCCTATATATTTCTGGATTATATAAATGGTAAACCATCCATAGATAGGTAATCCACCTTGATTGAAATAGTATAGGTTTACCTATACTAATTTATATCCCTATAAACCATGGTTAATCAAGGTTGATACATGGACTATATAACCATGGTTGATAGTATCTGAACCTGACAGTGGACAAGAAATCTACTGTGGTTAAACATATATTGGGATAGTGGCTAACATATATTGTGGACAAGATAAAGCAAGTTTATATGTGACAGTGGACAATATTGGGGGTTATACTAATGGTTAATCTAATATATATCAAAAGTATTTTAGGGATTATAGAAATAGTTATGACCATCCCCAATATTGAAATAGTTGCCATCTGGTTATTTAACGTAGCGAACTGGGAAATCACCATTTTTTAACAGGTAATTCATCATAAATCATTGAATCATCTATGGTCCATTTTCCATCGCTATGTTAAATAACCAGATGGTAAATATAATCACATAAAGGTATATATATATATATATACATACATATGTACATGTATTTTATGTATATAAGTATATACAATATGATACAAAGACCCCGCCATCAACGATTTCAGCGTTTGATCAGGAAATCAAGAAGCTAATTCAATGCTGAAGACTTCACATGTCTGCTTTGCCAACAACTAGATGGTCGTGAAAACGCAGGAAACTATAGGGGTCACTTAAGGGATCATTATCTCATTGGATCGAAAAGAAACACGGTTTAAAACTATCAAACATGGATGTTTAAAATTGTTTAAATGCACATATCATTGTTTTTTAATAATGTATGCTTGCTGGTGATATACATAATATATCATAATATATATATATAATCATATATATAATTGATTTTTTGCTGGATCATGTCCCATATGTTGTCGCAGCACAAGCCATGTCATGCGACACCTCGGAGATTAAAGAGCCATGCGATTTGATCGAGAGCGCTCCTTAGCTGGCATGATTTGATGCACTCGATGCCTAGCCTTTTGCCAGCCGTGTGAATGTGTATAGATGATGTTGAAAGAATTCATGGTCAGGATTGCAGTATATATTTGTTTTTGTTTTTTTTAACTACTACAATTTCAGTATATATATATATATTTAACTACTTACTACAATTTACGTAGGCATGTCAATAAATTGTACATAACTGCATGAACATGTTTAAGATAATGATGGCATGCTCAACATTCAGATGTGCTACGCACATCTAAACATCAAGCGCCCTTGGTGGACCTTCAGTTCCCCACCATGCAGTTTCAAGGGCACTTTTGTTTTGATCCCAAACACATCACTTTGTGGAACACATACCCTCTGGTAATTTAACATAGCTATTGATTTACCCATTAAAAATGGTGATTTTCAATAGTTATGTTAGAGAAATATATGTATTTCACCAACCTGGAAAGTTCGGCCATAAATATTGGGATAGTTCCCCCAATCCATTCACCATCATGAGGTCGTGATATAGCCAGGCTGTATCCATCACTGGCTGGCTACCTCTCCTTCTTTGGTTGATTAAACAAAAACAAAAGGGTGTTGAAGATTCTTGGTTATCATGCAGCAGCTGTAAGGAAAATATTGTTGCCTGGAAATATGATCAAATACTGTATCAGTTTCATGTATATATGTATATATTATCATTCACATATATATAATATCTATATATATATATATGTATATATATATATATAAGTTACGTATGTATATACATAATGATGTGTATAAACTCAGACCTTTATCTATCTGTCTGTCTACCTACCTCATCACATAATCATTATATATAATTATATATATACACAATCTGGTTACTTAACATAGCCATGGAAAATGGCCCGTGCACAGATGATTTATGATGCTTTACCTATTAAACATGGTGATCTTCCAGTTTGCTACGTTAAATAACAAGAGGGAGTGTATATGTATATATATAAAGAAACACAATCATAGATAAAGTTTTTTTAGAGGCAAATATAGGTAAACCATCCATCAATGAAGCATTTTCCATTGCCATGTCAAATGACAATTCGGGACCATATATGATAATATCATATCAATTTCTATCTAATTTATTTATACATACAATGTGAGGCCCCCAAGATAGCTAAGTTGGTACACATAACTCCAATAACTATATGGTTTATGGTGCGCAAATAACTATAGTTACTGGGGCGAATCTAAACCAACGTTCACATCACTGGGGAGACCACATTGTAGAGGTAGTTGCTTGTCCCCCAGTTCCCCATCTACCTTCTGCCTCGGCTCAACAGGATGCAACTCGCTTTCTGCTCCTGGATCGCTTCCCTGACCCTGCGGAGCTTACTGTCCACGCTTTCGCCCGCCAGATGCAGAGGATGAATCTCCAAGACGTTGCAGGGATCCTGAGCGAACAAAGGATGCACCGGAACTACCCTCTGGTAAACTAACATAACTATGGAAAATCACCATTTATAGTGGATTTACCCATTAAAAATAGTGATTTTCCATAGCTATGTTAGTTTACCAGAGGGTGTTGGGATTCCTATGAAACACTGTAAATCATAGGAACGGGATAATCCATGATAATCCATCTGCCAACTGGTGATTTCGCAACCATCCAACAGTACCAGTAGTTTGCGAATTGACATGGGGATTTAAGCAAGACAAATGAAGGTGTACTGAGAATTTCGTGGAGTTAAGACGATTTAATCGGGGAAAACGATGATTCGATGATTCGATGATTCTAAAATTGAGCTTGGACAGACAGTCCGTTGGGGATAAATCGAGCCATTTTTTCACTCAAGATGGGGATGGGCCCCGCTGCCATGAAATACTGGGTTAAGCTGCTCAAGTTGACCAACTTAGCTACTTAGTCTTCCTATGAATACATGAAATCCCAGTAAATCACCATGAATTTGAGGTGTTTCCCGGAAACGCATCACCATGGGATGGAATGGGCTTCAAAGTTTTGAGACAACACGAAAGGTTTTGCACCGTAGGCCAGTCCAAGTGGAACAAATGCTTGATGCTATGAGCATGTGTAAACATCCTCTAAATCATACAAACTAGGCCAGTTTGAGATTTTTGGACATTTCAGGGTTTTATGTCTTTGTATTTGAGGAAGGGGGGGAAGGTGGGGGGAGTAAACTAGCATTAGGGAGAAAGGATTCGTGTTTTTAAAGCAATGTCATAAACAACCTATATGGGTTTGTCTGAAAATGTTGTGTGCCTAAACCCAATGGTTAATGATCAGTTTCCCTATTAAATGGCTATAATTGGAGGTGATGGATCTTATTGCTTTACGAAATCCCTTGTAACAAAAGAAACACGAAAACCACGAATGTCTTGAGATCCGCTGATGATGTTTGAATACTGGTGAGCACATGTGAACCTCAGGCAACCACGGGATCCAACGTCAAATTCTTGGATTCAAACAATGATTTTTCCAACTGCAAAAACAAAGAGTCCAAAATTTCCTTTAAAGACATCAACATATGATTTTTGAGATACCCTCCGGTAATTTTTCACATAGCTATTGAACATGGCACATTATAGTTCGTTGATTTACCTATTAAAGATGGTGATTTTCCATAGTTATGTAGCAGTTTACCAGAGGTTAAACCTCCATTAATCACCATTAAATCCCATTAAACCACCATTTTCCTATGGTTTTCCAGGCCGGGTATGTTTACCAGGCCGGGTAAGCACTCGGAAAGAATTCGGAACGGGAAATCTGAGCATCCTCCGGGCGCGTGGTCCAAATAGCATCCACCAGATTCAAACTCACCTCATCTGCGCCGGGGAAAAGTCGTCGAAAGTGGGTAAGTGGGTGTTTCACTGGCATATGGCTCAAAAATGATAGTACTATAGTATTAAATAGTTTTATATACTATAATAATGAACATTGACAATTTTCCATTAATATTATATAATCCTATTGTACCATGATTTCTCTTGTTTCAAGTTCCATGCAGGTAAAATCACCGGTATGATGAAACCAGGCAGATCCCGGGCCTCTTTCAAGTGAACGGCGGAGTTCCACTTGGCGGACCATTCCTCTGCTTGTTCAAAGGAAATAAACCTGGGATCCACGCCCAGGGTCTTGTCCTTCAAATGCCTCGCCGCAGCGATTCGATTTGATTAGATTTGATTAGATTAGATTAGATTGCTTTAGATTTAAATTGGAATGATTTGATTTGGTTATATAATGTTATATAGATTAGATTAGGATAGATAAATACATACTGGTTGGTGGTTGAGCCACCCATTGAAAAAAATGAGTGCGACAATCAGCTAGCATCATAGTTCCATTTCTAGGGTTTGAAAATGCGACCAATCAAAAAACAGCCACTTTGGTACACTCAAAATCTTGTGGGGAATAATGGTTTATGAGTTTCCCAGTTGCATTGCATGTTTTGTAAATTTACTGGTATACCATGGTATACCCTATTTTCAGACAAATCCATTTTGCACTGATTTGGATGTGCGTGGTTCAATATGTTCAATGAAGGGTAGCTTCTATCAGTCAACCAGTCAGAAATGAACCTGAAACACAGCCAACACAGTTGGGAGATAGAATCACAAAGCACAATGATTCACAATGGCTGCAATGTGTGAAACCAAATCAGAATCCATCCCTAATCAATCTCACCATCTATATATATATATTTTAATATGCCCAGACATGCCAAGTTCTGGCTACAAAGGCTACAAGTTCCACAGGATTCATCTCTGCAACTGCCTGCCAGCCGCAGCTGAAAAATGAATCCTGTAAAGAGAGACCGCAACCCACGTTGCTGCGTGTAGGGCTAATCATTAGAATCATATGGATAATCTATGTAGGTAATCTGGTTGGTGGTTTCAACCCCTCATTCCAAGGTACCAAAAAAATGTCCCATCAAACCTACATTTATGATGGATTTTCCATAGCTATGTTAAATAACCAGATGGTATATGTACAAATACGGGTACATATAATCTGGTTGGTGGTGCAATAACCATCTTGAAAAATATGAGTTCGTCAATGGGAAGGATGACATCCCATATATGAAATGGAAAATAAAAAATGTTTGAAACCACCAACCAGATAATCTATGTAGGTAATTATCATGGATAATCTATATGCTAATCTATATGGTATGCTAATCCTACATATGGTATAATCTATATGGATACCTCTGAAAAAGATTACCCATATGCGAACCATGGTGCTGGAATATGAATCCCAACATTTGCCCGAACAAAATCACCCAGTTTTGTAGGTAATTTTTACCATACATGAAGCATATGGATTAAAGAAGTACGATGCGTGATTCATGAAAGTAATAGATTAAAGCAATCTCTTAAAATTGTGGCTAATCTTATCTAATGAATCATTAAATGCTACAAGAGCTGTCTTGCACTCAGAGTTACCCAGTGTCAGATCAGTCTTGACTACAGCTCCCCCTGCTGAAAATGCGCTGCAACTGCCCCTGCAACTGCGGCTTCAAGCTGCAACAACTTCCCAAGGGTTTCACTCCACTGCGCAACAACTTACACTAAATTCTATTTGAGATTACTGTGCCCATATTCCCTATGGATCCAGCCGTACCTTCTTAGGAACAAAAATTGTGGTATGATTTACCTTCTCAGACAGTGTTTGCATCCATTAGGATTCTGAAACAAAGTCCACAACTCCAAACGGTGTTGTCCAAAGGTAGGTTTGGATTTGCATCTTTCCCGGAATTGCATAAATCCAGAATAAAACCATCTTTTTCAGTCAAATCCAAGATGATTGCTTGTTGATGACGTTTCCCTTTAGTGTTTACCCTCTGGTAAACATACAAAAAACTATGGAAAATCACATTTTTTAATGGGAAAACTCACTATTTCTATGGCCATTTTCCATAGCTATGTTGACATAACCAGAGGGTACCAATTGCTGATATCTCCGAGGTTGGATACAGATTCCCGTCAAGATGCTCCAGTGCCCAATCCGAAAAGTCGGGAACTTGCGGCTGCGATCTGGGCTGGGACACGCTCATTGGTACCACAAAAAATGTTCCATCAAAACCTCCATTTTATGATGTTAAATAACCAGATGGTATATGTACAAATACTGGTACATATAATCTGGTTGGTGGTTTTACCCGTCTTAAAAAAATGAGTTCGTCAATGGGAAGGATGACATCCCATATATGAACTGGAAAATAAATGAAAATAAAAAAAATGTTTGAAACCACCAACCAGAAAACATCACCCCCAGTAGCAGGCCAACGTCTTCTATGCCTTCTGAAATAACTCTTCAAACTGCGGAGGATTGTAACTCCGCTTATTTCAGGGAAAGCATGCTTTTACTATCCATGCTTTTTGGGGGTGTTATATCTGTCTTTCCCTGGAAAATCATTTCTCAGGGAAAAAAACATGACCAACAAATGGTTTAGAACCCAATTATCCCATAGATCATCCCTATCCGATCCCCCCTACTGAATCTCCCTGTCCCATCTTAAGCTATCGTGTTTTTTCGAGGTTTACCTACTATGGTTTTATCATAATCCCCAATCATTTAGTATCAGTTCATGACTCGATTCTCCCATACATCATCCATAAACGATCCCTATTGTTGGGCTGGTTCCCTCCTTATTTTCAGCTACAAAACACATCATTCTACACATCATCCTCTGCAGGGCACTGGCGCATCAGCAGCCACTCAGTGCCTTGCAGCTGCTTTTCGGCTTGCAGAAAATAGCGGCTGTCGGTCCACAGCAGCGCCTGGAAACAGTTTCCCGTTCCATGGCCTCCGTGGACCCAGTTTACTGGGATTTCACCAACCATCATACAGGATTTTTTGCCCCCCCAGTGATGTGTTTGTTGGTTTATAAACCCCATGAATACTATAGATATATCACTATATCACCAACAAAAACCATAGTTCCAAACCACCAATCAGTGTTTGTTGGTTTATAAACCATGAATTAATCCCCATGATATAACTAGTTCGTTATATCTACCATAAACCCAATCGAATTCAACCACTTTTTTTTTAACCAACTGAACGCCATCGCTCGACTGGGGGCCCCATCTTGTATAGGATTTCACTTGGTGGCTTTGCGGGAGAAAGTTTGTAGCTCGGGGGGAACACCTGGTGATGTAGATTCGAATGTAGATTGATATGAATACAATAGAGATGTAACGCTTTTTTACTGCAATATAGATGTAGAGGATCGATGTAGATTGGCGTGGATCGATCTGGATTGAGGTTGGGACAGCCATGTCACTAGTGCATGCCGTTTAACTCCTGAAATTTGTTGAAAAATCGATGGTTGACTCTTTGACATGGCCCGAAGGATCAAGAAAATGATTCCGTGCCTTTCCAAGCCAACCACATTAATGGCAAAGCAATAATAAAGGACCCAGATGTTGATGGTTTTGCCAAGTACCACCCATAAAATTGCCAAATTCTGGATGTATTAATGTGGTAAACCCAATAACAAACTATCCCCGATATAGGTTCATAAAAAAATGGTATACCATGGTACACCCCGTTCGCGATGAGATGATTTCAGTTAATGACCCCCAAATGTTTAGTTGATGGGATTGTTGATTATTGGGTTTACCACGTTATGCCACGTTATTCCACGTTTCTCCCGGGTTCAACGTGAGTTCTCAGCCTTCCCTGCGTGCAATGTGTGCCTGTTCAGCTGTGACCAAAGCACTACCTGCACTCCCAGAGAAACCAGTCAGAAAACTCCTCCGTTCATCGGCGCTGCAAACATATTCTGAACTATGAGCGTCCTCCGGTCGAGGGACATTGAGGAGATTGGTGAAGTCATGCTTGGCCAGCAATGGAATCATGGAATCGGATGGAATCTCGCATCACATACTGAGACCTTTCATTATGTCATAATGTTCATACTGAGACTGCTACAAGGTGGTGCCCCCGTTCGATAGCTAAGTTGGTTTATAACTCCAATAACTATGGTTTATAGGTGATATATCTATAGTTAATGGGATTTAAAAACCAATTTATAACGTTTGGGGGGCACCACCGTGTATATATCACTTCTTTTCTGAGTGTTAACAGCGACCTGGTCGAATTCCTGCTACTCGGCCCTGCCAGAATTTTCACATGGACCGTCCAGTCGACTGGCGAGCCAGAATCTAGGTGTAAAACATGCGAAACAAGTGCATTGTGGCATGATGTTTCTGAAATTATGTAGCATGTAGCATAGAAATACACCAGAACTTCACCATAAAACCGGGAAGAAAAACATCTTAGAACACATCTGGTGCCATGTTCGCCTTATTTTTTCGCCTTCATTCAGATGTCATCAGATCTCCTGGCTGGTAACCAGATAGGCATCCAACTGATGTACCTTCATCAAGGCTCTCAAACCTTGCAAGCGTTGCGCGCTGCTCTCAGGGTCGCAGCTATCCTTGGTCGCTGCTCGAACCGGGGGATCAATGACAAGATCCCCAACAAAATGCCGCCAGGGGGGTTCCATAGTGATGCTGGATCCACAAAATAGATGGGATGGTTTATTTATGTTTATTTCATGGAAAAACCTGAACAACAATGGATGATTACTGGAGCTACCACCATTTTAGGAAACCTCTCTATCTATATATATATATATAATATCCATTACAAAAGGCTACCTGCGTATCTACATTTGACGGGCAACATATCTATATTTTCTCAAGTACGGATGTAAAAGTCATCAACTTGTAAAACCAATCAATCAATATATATATATATATTATATATACACACACGTATTATGGGGGTGGGTCAACACCTATTGTTCCCATATGTTGGGGGAATAAACATCCATTAAGCATCTATGACTTGTTGGGCACCCTAAACGGGTCCCAGGCTGCAGCGAAACGAGACTCGTCCCAAGAAAAACGAGACTCAGCTGGGAAGAGAAATCCGTCCCAAGTAATGATAATTACAATGACATATGGTACCCCAGAATCATTAGACCATTTATTGAAACCCATGGTGACTTGGGGATCCCACATGACATGACTTAAGAACCCCCCATATATATTGATTATTGGTAGGTTGATAGACAGATAGATACAGTAAATAAATATTCATATCTGAGTTTATACACATCATTTTGTCATACACAACTTATGTTTATATATAACCTCCAGTTAGAGACTACTAAATCCAGTTATAGATATTTATAGTGGTTCGTTGATCCCATAATGGTGAACTTGACCAACCCCATGACTTGAGAAACCCCCATATGCTCATCATGGATGTCATTACTGGTTGGTGGTTGAGCCACCCCTCTGAAAATATGAGTTCGTCAGTTGGGATGATGAAATTCCCAACTGCATGGAAAAAATAAAAAATGTTCCAAACCACCAACCAGTATATACTGATAATACTTAATGATAATTATATAAATGGCAAATCTCCGCTTCCATCCCTTTCTTCAAATCCATCACAGATGACGAAACCGTTTGCTGCCAAGCTTCGCAAAAGGGAACCCCCGGGCGGTAGCAACACGGGCATTGCAACTGGAACTGGGACCCCAAATCCAGGCGGATCCGTCTGCGCTTGGTTGCCATGGTCGCGGCCGTGGGTCTTTGCCAGTGCCCTGAACTCTAGGGGAATTCCTGTTCAGTTTTACTGACACATTTAAACCAAATAAGCTTCCGAGAATGAAATGGGTTCACTGTTATTCGTGGTTTCTGTTAAATATTATAGCATTCCATTGATATTTCATTATATAATGTCTTCCCCGTAATATTAATCACCTCCCCACAAACTATTGTTATTACCAAAATGTTGTTGGTTATTCCTGCTGTGTTTCTGTTTGGTTAATGGTTCATGGTAAATGGTAACATTACCAAACCCCCAAGATGGTTAATGTTTAGTTACTATGAATAGGTATAAAACACAACTATCTAAATTTAACCGTTAACCATGAACAATTACCACTAAGCACAATTAACCACTATTAGCATTACCATTAAGCACAAATAATCATTATTAGCCGTTACCATTGAGCCTTAAGCACAATTAACAATTATTAACCATTACCATTCACCATTACCAGGGTTAACCATTACCAGGATTAACCATTGTCAATTATTAACCAGGGTTAGCCTTAAACACAATTAACAATTATTAAACACCATGAACCATTATTAACCAGCATTAACCATCATTAATCATGGGTGATTTATTTCTTGTTTAACCATCATTAACCATGATTAACCATTCTCAAACAAGAAATCAACCATTACCACCGTGCTATTCCTGTTCTGTTTCTTTGATTCCGCCGCTGGCAGAGCGTAAAAAAAGGCTGGCGCCGACGGAGTCGTCTTCGTCTGGGGAGCAAAACTAGACCAATGGACTCCAAGACTCCAGGCTGAATATTCATAATATATATATATATATAATATATATATAATATATATGTATAATATATATTATATATATGTATAATAGGAAGTCCTTAAATATGCTGTGACAAGCATGTTCAAGAGAAAACACATCGCCCAAAACCAACGCAGTACACGTATATTATCAGAAATCAGGAAAAAAAAACATGTGATACAAATCCAATCTTAGTATATGGAGGTCTCCTAATTCATGGGCGGTACCCCAGAATCATTAGACCATTTATTGAAACCCATGGTGACTTGGGGATCCCACATGACATGACTTAAGAACCCCCCATATATATTGATTATTGGTAGGTTGATAGACAGATAGATACCGTAAATAAATATTCATAATTATCTGAATTTATACACATCATTTTGTCACATACACAACTTATGTTTATATATACTACATCCAGTTATAGATACCATTGTGGTCCGTTGATCCCATATCGGTGAACTTGACCAACCCCATGACTTGAGAAACCTCCAAATGTTCATCATTGATGTCATTACTGGTTGGTGGTTGACATGTCCCTCTGAAAAATATAAAAGTCAGTTGGGATGATGAAATTCCCAACTGAATGGAAAATGTTCCAAACCACCAATCAGATTATGTTATCATTAGTTATTCAGTCATGATATGGCCATAGCTATGAACTAGTACAGTATGCTATATTAAGGTTTTGGCTCTAGTCCTGTCAGTGGTAAACCTACTTCGAGCCGACACTAGACACCTCGTTTCCATGACCATGGTTTTTGATCCCCTTGGTTGTCTTTGTGATGATCGCTTCACTGGTGTACTATTCATCAGCAGTATCTCCGATGGGCTTTCATATGGTTACATGATCCCGAGCCTGATCTCAGTAGTAGTTTGCCATCCTTTTCCACTTTGTGGCAGAGTCAGCTTGTATGAGTACCTCATTGAAGAGGATGACGGCATCACCTTTTTGACCCGAACGACAGAGGCATGGTGGCGCATGGCACCAGACCAACGTGAAGAGCTGTCACCGAATCTCCTTGAGCTCTGCGCAGGCACAGGAGCCATGGGACACGGTGCATCATTTTTAGGTGGACAAGTACATGTTGCAGTAGATCACAATGATTTAGCATGTCAACATTTGCGTGCCAACCAACATGGAACCATTTTGCAACTGGATATGACAGATCCAGCCAATGCCAAGCTGATTCACCAAGCTTGCCCGGAAGTAGTAGGAACAGTCCTGCTTGGATTTCCATGCCAGCCCTATTCCACACAAGGGCACCAAATGGGTTCCATTGATGGTAGGTATCAGGTGTTTCAAGCTGGCATGCGTATCATATACATGATCCAGCCCCAATCTGCCATCCTTGAATGCGTTGTTCCAGCCAGAGAGAATGCAGACATCCAGCAAACCATCCAACAGCTTGCCACGATCATGAACTGGGATGCTCTCCAGCTCAACTTGAACCTCAGTGATCGCTGGCCTTGTCGACGTTTTCGCTGGTGGGTTCTCTTTCTTCCTCATGCTTGGAATCTCCATGGACTTTCTGCATGGCCCTCCAGCATGGAGTACGAGAACGTTGGCAGCTTGTTCGCACACTGGGGCCTTTGGTCGGATGAAGATGAGCAGGAACTCCAGCTCTATGCTCATGAACTTGAAGCTTATCTGGACCCTGCCATGGGGGCCGACAAGAGGCTGCTTGAAATGGATGACATTGCCAACACCCTGTTGCATTCATACTCCAATGCCCTCACCTCCTGTCCTTGTCGCTGCCGTACTTCATCATTTTCGAAGTCCACCTTGCTCACAAAAGGGTTGAGAGGCTATTTTGTGATCTCTGTCAAGCACAACAACCCGCGATATCTCCATCCCAAAGAAGCAGCACTACTGCTTGGCATTCCGCCCACCATGGTCTTCCCGCACCCAGTTCGAGCATCACTAGCTCTTCTGGGACTTGCTGCTTCGCCTCTCCAACTGGTATGGATTTACGGCCATCTGAAATGCAATGCTGCAGCAGCCCATGGCCAGATGTTCCCTTCCCCGGAAGAATGGCTTCGACATTACTGTGTGGAACTTCTTCGGCATAGTCGTCAGCTTTTTCACCAACATCAACCAGATCCCAAACAGCATTTGCAGATCAGCACAACTGATGGACCTCCTCTTCTCATTGCGAGCTCCTTTGCATCTACGGCTGCTCATTTGCTACAGGCAAATCGGATCATCTTGGGCTGGAATGAAGCTGCTGCCTTGCATGATGAGCAACATCGACTTGCACTTCATGAACGACTGGATGGCGCCACCTATACCCTTGTGGTTGAACCTGGAGTAGCCTCACGATTGCCACCATCATCTCAGATCATGGTCTCTCTGCGACACCAACAGGATCATACTGTCCATCAAGTTCCTGCAGGACACTTTCTCTTTGAGCTACTTGCCCAACTGAACCTGCACCACGTGCGGTTCCTGGTAGATTTGGAGGGACGAGTCTATGGAGCAGACTATCGTGTTTGGCGGCCATTATGCCTCATGGCCATTGATCCTGCCAACTGGCCTCCTCGGATTGGATCTACCCTTCGAGGCAATGGACTTTCTGCCTCTACCTTAGGGCTCCATGATGGCCATGTCTGGGAGACGCTGCAACAATTGGTGACTTCCCAACCTACCATGTCAGTGCATTTGGTGCATCCATGCCTTGCAGCATTTCTCCTTGGCGACTTGGACTTTTCTGACTTGCGGAGACTTGGACTTGGACTTCTGTCTCCTCAAGTTCATGCTTCTCAAGTTGCATGCATCTTTGCGGCACGTGGTCATTGGGCTTTGATTTGGGCCACTCGCCATCATCGGCACTATGTGTGGTCATATCATGATGGACTTCTTGATCACATACGTGATGAAGCGCACCAGCTGGCAATGAAGCTCACTGGACTTTTTGGTGGCGACACCATGGACTTTCACATCAGCCACCTGCTTCGCCAGCGCTCACCAACTATATACGTGCGGCACTGTGGCACTCTTCCATGTTTGCTTCCGTCTTGGACTTTGTGGACTCCCTAGTGATGAGATGATTCTTGGACTTCATGAACATCTCCTTGCCTCTTCTATGTCCTTCACGACTCCTCCTTCGGTCATTGGACTTGGACCGCAAACTGTTGAAGGCCAACTGGCTGCATTGCTAGTCACCAAGGGAGTACCATGGACTGCAGTCTCTGAACGAGCTGCTTCTGCCATCCACAAGCTTGGGGCGACAAATATCCAGAGTGCCCTGCAACAGGCCAACCCTTGGAATGCACTGAAAGCCCTTGCAAGCCGACCTGGCAAGAACTTCCAGCACGTCACCAAAGATGAGCTGCAAGCATTCATCTCTCAAAAGGCTGCGGACAAGCATGGAGCACAGATTTCCTCCAAGAAGAAACAATCCAAGAAGCCCTTGCCAAAGGCTACCCCTCTTCAACTTGATCCTGCTGCGCTTTCACTTCTTGAAGGGCATTTTGTCGATGCAGAGGATGAAACAGTTCCTCAAATCCAGCTTGCGCAGGTCACTGCTGACATGCGTGGGATTGCCATTTGTGACCTCACACAGGCATTGCCCTACATCAAGGAGAACAAGAGCCTGAGTGCGGATGCTCTTGCCCTGTTGATCACACAAGAGGTCCCAACTGAGCTCAAGGGAATGGCTGATCTTTGCGCACTACGATTCCCAGCCACGTACCTGCCGACACAAGATCCCATGTTGATCCAAGGCAGCCTTCTACAACTGGGGGATGTCACAGTTAGCCGTCATACCACTGATGACATGCATGCGGACCTGGAGGTGACTACTACGACCATTCTGAAGATCCAAGTCTTTCGAGATGAAGTCACCATCGCATGGGAGCAGTTCATCGCTTCACCCATCAAGCACTTGATCACATTGGTTCCTAAGCTTCGTCTCTGTCCCAACCCACGATGTGACAACAAATGTCTCTTCTTTCATTCAGCAGTGGAGGACAACATTGAGCAGGTGATCCATGAAATCTGGGCACGCAAATTCCAATCCATGGAAGGGCGCACCTTGCCTGCCGACCAAGCTGTGCTCTTTCAGGCGTTTCTGCGTGTGGCCTCCACGGCTGTTGAGGAGATCTTGCCCTCCGTTGTCAATGGGATCTACTTTGAGCCACGTTGTGCCACCACGAAGTCAACTGACCCTGAATATGCCGTGGTTTGGATTCCAGGTGCAACACTTGACACCGCGACTCACAAGCTCAAAATGGTCTCTCAAGGCCTTGGCCTCGTGCGGATGAAGCAGCGCTACGGCATCCGAGTGAAGGCTGCTTACGAAGAGACTGTTTACAACCAAATTCGACCAGGTGACTCCTTTGTACGTGTCACTGTCACCAAGATCTTCAGGCTGCATCCATTGCCACATGGACTTCAACGTGCTCAACTGGCTAAGCTTTTGTTGGAATGGGCCTGGGATGCCAAGCCACTTCAACCTTCCCGTGGCTCTGCTGATGGTGCCGCATGGGAGGTTGGAACTTCGGCTGACCCACCCCAGCCAGTGATGCAAGCTTTTGGCCAAGATGTTCTGATCAACCTGGTGAAGGACAAGCAGCAGCATGACCTCCCTCCAGCCATCATTGCTCCAAAACGAGCTCAACAGCATCTTCGAACACAGAAACCAGCAGTCAGCTCTTCCACCACCGATCCATGGCTTCAACAAGACCCCTGGTCTAACTTCAAGACTCCCACTGCCAATGCGGCTCAGTCCAAAAGGTATGATGCCATTGCCACACAACTTCGAGATGATCTGACGGCGAAGTTCCAGGAGAAGATCAACAACAATACGGCAGCATCAACTACCGTGACATCAGAGCTGGAACATCGCATGCAAAAGATGGAGGTGGGGCTTACTGAGCTTCAAGCACACAATCATCAAGTTGGCCATTGGATGAAGGAAGCTGGCGCTCGCATGGCAGCCCAGGATGACCAACTTCAACAAGTACACCAACGTTTGGCACAGCAACAAGAAGATCTTGGCACCGTTCGTACGGAAGTCCACTCTTCAGCAGCCAACCTGCACCAAGCCATGCAGACCAGTTTCAACAATATGAAACAGGAGATCGTGACTGACTTGTCCGCTTCTTTGGACAATCAGATGTCTCGTTTTGAGACCCTCATGACTGCCAAGAAGCCTCGTCAAGAATGACTACGGCGTTCAGGGCCTTCTACCTTCAGCCAATGGAAGGTGCCTGGAACAACCTGGCTATTTTGGTTCCTCACTTTCTTTACGCTATGTCAAGCCAATCCCATGATGATGACAGTGCGGCCTCAATCGGACAGTTGGCCTACTACATCTTCCTGTTCCACAGTCTCGCTGAGAGGCCTGACCACTTTGGTCACAGTTCCTGGTGCTCCACGATGGGGTGAGGCACTACATCCTGGACCTGCTGATGTACCAGCCCCAGATGACCTCTTCTGGGTGGGTTTTACAAACCCCACTGGGCTGCGCAACAAGGAGATCCAAGCCCTTAATACTGGGAATTCCATTATCAATTTCTCCGAGACCCAGCTCTCGAAACAAACTCAGAAGTCATGTGCGGCTCGTTTGCGCCATCTTGCCATGACTCAGAATCGCAATCTTCGCATCCATTTGGGCTGCCCGGTGGCTGTTAGAACCACCTCTACTTGGGCAGGGACCTGGAGCGGAGTTGCCACACTGTCTGATGTCTCCTCCACTGAAGTGATGCTGCCGTACGAAGGTGAACGAGATTGTGGGCGTGTTCTTGCTACTCGCCATTGTATCGGTAGCCTTTCACTTCTGAATGTGGTGGTGTATGGGTTCCCTGCGGGCCCTTCTTGGCCCCAATCCAAGGCCCTCACCCAAGAACTCTTGGCAATCTTCACACGTGAAGTGGTTCTTGGTGCTAAGGGCCCACGCCTGATCGGCGGTGACATGAATGTTGATTCCACACAACTCCCTGTCTTTGATTTGTGGCGACAGCATGGCTGGTGCTCTGCACAGGACTATGCTTCTCAGATGTGGAATCAACCCAAAGCTTTCACTTGCAAAGGCAAGACTGAGCGCGATCTTGTTTGGCTCAGTCCAGAAGCACAAGCACTTTGCAAGGCTGTGGCTGTTCGTGACCACTTCATGGAGCATGCCACAGTTTCAGTCGGGCTCAGCATTCCCTCTAAGACTGAAGTGCTACGTGCGTGGCCTCGGCCCTCTGCAATTCCATATGCTGCCTTGGATCCTACATGGAAAGATGCTGCCACTCCTCCTACGTGGACTTGCTCTGGAGATGTGGATTCACAATGGGCTCAACTTGCAGCATCCTATGAACAGTGCTTCCATGGCTTTGTTCCTTCACAACCTGGGGGCAAGCTGACGCAGAATCAGATGGGCAGACTTCAGGCCACTAAGCCTGTCAAGCGTCGATGTGAGACGCTTACTCTGCGAGCCAGTCGACCAGGCGAGGTTGAGATGCGGAGCAACTTACTTGGCCGCGAAACACACTGCTGGTTCAAGCAACTACGTCGTCTGCAGTCCTACCTCCATGCTATCCGTGGGGCCAAACAGACTGCTTCGGCCATCACCTATCGACTTGAACTCTGGTCGGCCATCAAACAGGCCACTGGATTCACAGGTGGCTTTGCAGTTTGGTGGATGCATACGTTTGGGCTCAACTCTGAAGGCATTCGCATTCTTCCCTGTGCTCCGCCCCATGAAGAGGTTGCTACCCAACTTTTTGACCAGTTCAAACATGCATATGAACGTTTTGAAAGTTGGCATTTGCGTCAACGAGGAGCTCTTCTCAAAGCTAAATACGAACATGGGCTATCTGGAGTTTTCCAAGATCTCCGCAAACAGCCACGAGATCGACTGGACTCTTTGCAGCGCACTCATCATTATGGGGTGCTTGCTACTGATGGGGCTCAAGTTCATGTTGACCAGCCTATTCATGTTGGTGGCATTTCTCATTGGTATGTTGACGAAACTCCTCTTCAAGTTGGCGTTGTGAACGAGGTGGTCATTGCAGTGGATGAGACCTGTGACATTGGTGATGTTTTGGTTCAACATCAAGTCATCTCTGACGTTCGAGACCTTCATCAAGAACTCCTTGACTACTGGACTCCAATTTGGAACGCAATGACGGAAGTTCCTACTGCTGACTGGCAACGCATCATGGATTTTTTCGTTGCCTATGTTCCCAACTTACTTTCTCTCTGCCAGACATCACTGTCAGCATGTGGAGACGTGCACTGCGTAAGTACAAACCTACAGCTGCCCGTGGAGTTGATGGGATTTCTCATCATGATTTGTTGGCAATGCCTGATCCTTGGGTTGAGCGCTTGCTGCAGTTGCTCCAACAGATTGAACGAGGTGAACAACCCTGGCCCACCGCCATCTTGTATGGGGTAGTCAGTGTCATAGCCAAGGATCTGGGCGCCAAAACAGTTGACCGGTTCAGGCCAATTGTTATCTTCTCAGTGATCTATCGCACTTGGGCATCGATTAGATCCAGACAGCTCATCCGCATCCTGGCTCCATTCATGGACGAGAATGCCTTTGGGTTCATTCCTGGCTGCGAACCCAGTCAGTTATGGATGGTGCTGCAGTCCGACATCGAGTGCTGCCTCCTAACTGGAGCTGATCTCACTGGACTTTCCACAGATTTGGTCCGTGCATTTAATAATGTGCCACGCCAGCATAGCTTTGCCCTAGCCCGACATATTGGAGTACCTGGCACTCTGCTGGTTCCATGGGAGGGTTTCCTTGGCAATTGCACAAGGGCCTTCGAGATTCGAGGTTGGCTCAGTGCCCCAACAACTTCAAGCCGCGGGCTCCCAGAGGGCGACGCTCTCTCGGTCTATGCGATGATTCAGTTGAATTTTGCGTGGCACATTTATATGAAGGCCTTTTCTCCGGCCGTGCGGGCAATGAGTTTCGTGGATAACTTGGCACTTGTCACCACTGCCCCAGCTTTGTTGGCTCGTGGACTTGCCTGCCTCGTGGAATTTTTCAGACTGTGGAATTTGGTTTTGGATCATGCCAAGTCTTATTGCTGGGCCTTAGCTGCGGCTCAAAGGAATCAACTGAACACCCTGCCCTTCAAGATAGTCACCTCAGCTGACGAACTGGGCGGAGTGCTTTCCTTTTCGCGTAAGCAATACACTGGCAGACATGCAAAGAAGTTCCTCTCCTTGGAGACACGCTGGCATGCGCTCCAAACCTCCTGGGCACCACTTCGGCAAAAGTTTGCCATGCTTCCCATTGTCTTTTGGTCTTCGGCCATGCATGGCATTTACGGCAGTTGTTTTGGAGATGCACACCTCGACAAGCTTCGTGGTAAAGCAGTGATGGCGCTGAAATTGAAGCGAGCTGGCGCAAATCCTCTTCTACGTTTGGCACTCTCATGTTCTCCAACTGCAGATCCTGGCTACTGGAGAGCTCAGATGACCATACGAGCCCTACGTAGACTTGCGCTGAAGGAACCTAGATTGCTTTCAAATTGGAAGTTTTTCATGCACCATTTTGTTGGGAATCTTTTTAGTGGACCTTTTTCTCAGTTGCTTGTGATCACTACTCAATTGGGGTGGGTTGTTAATCCCCCTTATTTGATTGATCATGATGGCATTTCGCACCACTTGCTTCATACGGCCACTGCAACCTGGGATGAGCTTCTTTTTGATGCCTGGCTCCAACATGTTTGCCAACAAGTACGGCATCGGGCTACCATGGCTGACCTTGCCGGCATTGATCCGCACTTGGCGCTTGGGGTTGGCAAAGAGGCTACAGCACTGGACCGGGCCTTGATCAGCTCCCTCCAGAGTGGCGCATTCATGAGTGCGGCACAACACAGCAAGTATGACCTCACCAAGGAAAGTATGTGTATCAGCTGCAATGTAGCTGACTCTCCACTTCACTGGCTTCAGTGCCCCAGGTATGCAGACCAACGTGCTGAAGTGCGAGATTGGCAGTCTCACACGGTCTATGACACCAAGGCGCTGTTGATGCACCTACTGCCATCTCGCTTTCCCAGTGCTTGTTTATGGAAAACTGCTTTGGTGAACTTGCCAGATGACACCCAGACTTTTTTGACACATCCCTCTAGAGGACACCAGCATGTTTTTGTGGATGGCACTGCAACCAAAACGAAGACACCATATGATTTAGCTGCTTGGGGATGCATCAATGCGACCACTGAATCTATCATTGCAACGGGACATGTTCATGGTTTGGTTCAAACTAGTGCTCGGGCTGAATTGATGGCAGCGTTGAGTGCCCTCACATGGCAAGCTCGCTTTCAGACTGACATGACGCTTTGGATGGATGCCAAGTTTGTTCATGATGGCATTGACTACCTGCGGCAGCATGGGGTAGCTGCTGATTGGTCTGACCAAGACCTCTGGAATGGAATTGCCGATCAATTGGAGCAGCTTGGATCCCTCCAGCTTCATTTGCGTTGGATCCCCAGCCACCTTGATGAATCGCTGTTGGAAAATCCTTTTGAAGACTGGGTTCATCTTTGGAATGGCAGGGTTGATGCGCTTGTTGGTCATTACAATCTCAACCGCCCTGCTGACTTTCAAGAGCTTTGGATGAGTGCACGGCGCTATCATTATGAGGTCTCTCAACGACTGAAACAGCTGAGCATTTTTTTTGGTAAGGTTGCTGCATTGCCTAAACCTACCACAGTTTTGCCCATGGGGGATGTACAGATAGTTCCAGATACACAGCCTGCTCTCCAAGATTTCTATACAGATGAGATTGAGACTGTACTACTTAGTTATCATAAACCCCCAGGGAAACTTTTCACTATTTCATTTCTCACTCACATGCTGCATTGGCTCATCTCTTGCGCTGATGAGAATGATGATGATTTGGTTTGTTATCCTATCTGTTATGAGGAGATTGGTTTGGTTCTTGCACATCAGCCGCATTTTGGATTTCCTTTCTGGAATGCCACCACTGGGAGCATGGATACTGCACCCCTCTGCACCCGGTACCAGAAACCCACTTTGGCTTATATTGTCAGTGTTGTTCGTGCTGCTTTGAGTTTTCTCAGGGAGTGTTGTGATCCGTTTGCTTGTGTTTTCTTTTCCCATGTTAACAAAGTTTCGCTTGGCATTCACCGTCCATGCAGTGGAGTGTATGTCAGGATGAGCAGAGCGCATGTTCAGAGCTGCTCTTCCCTGACACAAGGTTTCACTGAAAATAGGCCAATCCGGAAGACATGTGATTTGGCCCGGCCAGTACAGTAGTCAATAGCTCAGACCGAGTTCAATCGGCACTGCAATTGCTGTGCCATTCGACTGTCCGCAATCTTCGAGCTATGTTATCATTAGTTATTCAGTCATGATATGGCCATAGCTATGAACTAGTACAGTATACTATATACCACAATTGATCATATATATATATATATATTACCTTCCAGTAAATTAACACAGGCCCTGGCAGATAGGGGTTGGAAAATTAGTTTCCACTAGAAGTGGGTTATTCTCACGGTCTATGTGATTTTTATTTTTTTTTACCAGAGGGTATATGTATGTATACCAGCATTCTATTTATATTGATAACTTATGATTCCATCATTTTATGTACCATAAACCCTAGTTCTTGAAGTTATAAACTCTGGCTTATATGATATCTTATCGTTTATGGTTTTATATTTAATGTTTATTAAAGTTATTGTCTATATGCTATGTACCATAAAACCATTTTATTATTGCTTTAATTACCAACATTATATCTGGGTAAATGATAATATTTCACTAACCCGAATAGTTCGGCCATTTGGGGATGATTTTCCTTACTAACCATTACTAACCATTATTCCCAGTGAGGTCGCAGTGAGCCACTAAGAACCACTATTAACCACTATTTATACTGATATCTTATGAAGGCTACGGAGACTTCACCGAAAAACCCAACAACGCCAGGATCGGCACCCCTCATTGACGACATCGCGACATCGCCACCTGGCGGAGAGTTTTCGTCCACTGAAAGGGGCAAATCCATATGGTCAGCGCATGTCTAAGAAATTCCCTACAAATTCACAACAAAGATGATATCTGGTTGGTGGTATACCTACCCCTCTTAAAAAAATGAGTTAGTCAGTTGGGATGATGACATTCCCGATGTATTGGAAAATAACAAATGTTCCAAACCACCAACCAGATGAGATATATATATGTATATATATATATATATGTGTATATATATATATGTATATATATATATATGTATATATAGATATGTATATATATATATGTATATATATATATGTATGGTACCCCCCAAAAAAAACCTACGCAGACTTCAATTTTACTGGTATTTACAGTGAATTTTATATATTTTGGCACCGATTTTGTTCCGATTAAATTTGAGCCACCAACAGTGGGAAAACTGAAAAACTGAAAAACTGAAAAACTGAATATATGTATAATTGTATAGTGGATAACTGTATGGTTATAATGATTAAAAATTAATTTTGAAACCCTGGGTCTGTTCTGAAAACCCTAAGAGTGCCACCCTACAATTTTTGCAGGTTACCGAGTTCCAAGGTATATAGATAGCAACCCCAAGAAAAAAGTTGGAAAGTCAAAATCAATGTAAAATATTGATAAATGAGCCATGCTCTAAATGTCTTACATCCTGGCACCAAATAAGAAAATGCTTACGCCATTGCTTACGTTTTGCTTACGCGCGCACAGGTTTTGCTTACGCGCATATCTTTTCTTACGCGGAGCTTACGCTGGCTTACGCGCACCACAGTTTTGCTTACGCCAAACCCTTACAAGGGGCCCCTTGCTTAACATGAACACAAGGGTTTGGAACGTGGCTCAAATGGAGGTTTCCTAAAATGGGTGTACCCCTAAATCATCCATGTTTATAAGATTTTCCCTTATAAACCATACAAAAATTTGGTATCCCCAATTTGTGGACATCCTCAAATCACTGCTCTATCATAGACTCTATCTTTTTGCGGGGCACTATACAGTGACATGATATTAACTGTGACATGGACTTTCTGAATCTGAACAGGTGGTTTAAACCATTTTGAACCCATTCCGAGAAACGAAAAAGTATTCCCTTAATCGATTCCCGAAGAAGTGGATTCCCCATTGGGAACATAAAAAAACAAATCTAAATCATCAGAGATATTGACTTAATATCTCTGATCATTAAGATTTGTTATTAAACATGATTCAGCAACTTTGCCAGTAAAGAAGCTGTCCAGCAACTAGTCTACCACAGCGACTATGTCTGGATTAATATGGATATGCCTCTAAATCATGGTACCCTATGGATGTCCATCTGCCCAAATATATTGTATCATAATCGTAATGTCTCATACAAGGTGATGCCATGTAGTTTGTGAAAGCTTATGAATGAATAACGTTTGGATAACATGATAAATCTATGTGGTTACGGTGGGCTGTGAAGCAACTTACCGGTAGATCAACCATCACTCTGCGGTGAAGTCTTAACGCGACAAAGTCCAAAGTCCCGCTGGTGATGTCCTCGATATGTTTGGTCATACCCAGATTCATGATAAATTAATATATAGTATCATGGGATATGTGTTCTTATATATAGTATCATATATATATACACACCCAGTTTCTGTTACAAATCACATTGACATCCGTGATGTAATATTGATTGATTAAACTGAGTGGGAATCATTCACAGTAAACAGTACAGCAGCAACCAAAACAAGAATAGTATATACTATGGTTTGACAGGGGAAAACGAAATGTGGATCACATGCTGCTCAACACCCTGGCCTGCAAGGACTATGGTTTTGTATAGTTAAATCGGCACATGATACATCCAACAGCCGTCCATTAACGTTGATTAAAACCCAATGGCAAACCATGTTATATTATCCTATGATATCCACAATCCCATTACATCCGGTCATACCCCGAAAATCATCAGAAGTAAAATCACCATACCAAACCTTTTGCAACATCTATTTATCCCATAATTTCTAGCTTTTCAATTCTTCATTATTCATTAGCTTCTCTATCTTTTTGGGGGCTTGCTATGTCTAAATAAATATATATATACCTATCTACATAATCATATCCCATGGCATTGCCATATAAAATATTGACATCATTTCATATCCCTAAATAATCCATATATTCCCATATTCAACCTTTTGCACCATATATATATATATATATATATATATATATGCCCCCCAAAAAATGCCTCCTCAACAATTTCGAGCGCTCCAACTCGTCGGCATCTATGACTGGGGCTTGCTATCTATCTATCTATCGATCGATCGATCGATCTATCTATCTATCTATCTATACACATAATATAATAATATACAATATTAAATATATATACACACCCATGATATCCCCATGATATCTCTGATATCCCCATTAAACCACAAGATTTATATATTCCCCATGATATAAATCCATTGTTGCAGGGAGGTCACCGCCTGGTGCTGTCTGAGTGATTCTATATAACAAAATCATATCTAAATTGATATTATAATGACTACTATACATAGTAAATACAACATATATTATATAATAATCTTATGATGATGAATAATAATCAACATATATACCTATGATTGATATTATAGTGATTGTATATAGATATAGCTATATTTATAAAAATAATTGATAGACATAGTTAAGGTGTGTCAACAAAAACAGGAATCATGAAAATAATGGTACAGCAATAGTAATAGTAGTAATGACAATACCATATATTTTGGTTCTATGATATGGTTTATATGGTAGGAAATACCGACTGGTTTGTTGAATGATTGAATGCCAACCAAATATTTGTGGTTTATATGGTTGACTGATTTGAAGCGCATTCCAACTACATCAAAAGTATGTATGTATATATATATTGTTATTGGTAATGCAACTTAATTAGACCATATAAAACCATACTTACACCACACCTCGAAGTTTGACCAATTTGGATCACAACCGTTCTTTTTTGCCAAAAAAACAACTGGGACCGAAAGCCTTGGTCCCCAAAAATGATCAGAATCGCAATTTTCATGGGGAAAATGAGCACTAACCATTGGATGTGGGGAAAGCATGGGAAAGCCTCATTTTGAACAAATTTGCCAAGGGATCCAAGGGCATGGAGCCCCGGGAAATTTTATTCAGTGGACCGTGGACAATGATTTTGTTTGAAGCTCTTGGTGTGTTCTCACTCTTTGCTATTGGAAACCAAACATGCCCGGCAAAGCCCCTGGTCAATGTCAAACATAGCCACATGATACCAGCACCGTTCGGTTCATTGCAGAGAGACTGACAACAAAAAAGATGAGTTGAACTTTGTGTAGCCTCTAAGACTTTAACAATTTGCTAATTATGGAAGAACACCATGTTTGTTTAATAAAGAGCTACCCGCTGGTAAACTAATAGTTCGCAATGGAAAATGACCCAATTGTAGTTGATTTACCCAATGGAACTGAATGGGACATCTTCCGTCCCAGCTCTGCTGATCGGGTGCCCCAACCTGGCAGCCGAAAAGCCGGTGTTCTCGGTGGCGAGCACACCATGCCTGACGAACGCATCTGTCGCACGAAAATTGTGATATGGAAAAAACAAAACAACAGCTCGGAACCAGAACCAGCGTGTTTGAACTGGAAGCTTTTGAAAAAGTTGCAACTCTATGCAACTCTTCTGAACCTCTGATCATCTAACTAAGATACCAGAGGTTGCAGCTTGAGTTTCTGATGGTTCAAAATTACAAAGTTGGCAAAGTTGAGACAGCAAGGAAGCAGCTCAAAAAAATGCCTAGACTTTGGTCAACTTGAAACCACCTACAACAGACCGGCTATGGCAATCCTGCTTCCATTGATTCTTTGACATTCTACGAGGTGAGGTCCCCCAAAAAGTGCTATGTTGACAACTTGCTTAACGAAATTGGATTAATTAGGGAGATATCAACGATAAAGCTCATGGGCTTATAAACCAACAAACATTCACTTGGCGGCCTCACCTTGCATATAAATGGATACCCTTAGAGTTCCCATTATATACGTATATATATATATACATATCCCGTTATATATATATATATATAAATATATATATATATACATGTATATACATACCCCATTATATATCCCATTCTTGTTACTTAAACATTGTAACATTTCCGGATCTCCCCGGCCCCGCTAGGTCCCGCTAGGTCTTCCCGGCTTGCAATCAGTTTGGACGCATTGCACATGGCTCGTCGCTCCAAAAAGGTCCAGTCCTGGGAACTGCTGACAGCTGGACAGCAGTTAACCCTGCTTAAATGGATGCAGGTTGGCAGGAAAACCAACAGGATCATTAACATGGTGGTTTATGACCGTTGATTGCCTGATAAACATGGTGGAACTTGACTTTCAATAATGGGTTAAACCTTCAACTGGGTTCACCAATAAACATGGTGGTTTGACCTTCAATCATGGGATAATTAATGATAATCAATGATAATCATGGAATACTGCGTGGTGTGCCCGAAAGTGACGAAGGTGCAACAAAAACAAGTGTCCGTTGAAATTTGACAAACATCCAGTAATCAGGTCATCAATATGTGGCAATGTCCTGGTGTTTGTACACAACATGTTTTTTCATCTCGGCGGCCACAAAGAAGCCTTGCATCAAACAACGTTTTTCGTGGTTTACTCTCAACCCAGGATTAACAAAGCTTGACTATGAATTGGAAGGTTACCTCCCAATCGTTTCAAGGATGTTGAACTTGACCTATGAATTTTACCTCTTTAGAAACAGGGCTGACATTATAGGAGATAAATCCAACAGACTTTTCGGATTGACTCAGTAACCATCTTCTTTGGATGGGCTGAAGTTCGGCTGTCGCACCGCAAGGTGCGAACGTTGCCCTCAGGATGAAAAACAATACACCAACTCTAACCTCCAGGGCGCCAGAAAACCATATGATTCCTTGAATTTCAAGATGTTTCAACAGACTTGTTTCCAGAACCAATGGTTCAAACAGAACAAAAACATCGCCGGAGGCTGGGTCGTCACCAGTTACAAGAAGTCTGCCCTGCGCTGTCGACTAACTTCAAAAGGCGCCGGTCCAATCAGCGGCGCCAGTTGCTCCATTGACTTCAGTTGAGCTTTGACACCCTGGGGAAATCAACGAGGACAGGACCCGGGCTATAGCCAATAAGAATGGTGGTTTGATAAATTCAACCTTCAATCATGGGACAATTATTGATTGTATATATATATATGTATGTATATATATATATATATAACCAACTTGGTAAACCTCCAAATTGGGATAATAAAAAGCTACGGACCAACAAAAACAATGGCAAGGCAGTCACTGTTCGTCCCTGGATTCATCAAACGAGGCCCTGCCGTTAGCCATGACTAGATACCCCCCGATGATGGCTAAAAAAATAATCCCCAACCAATCAAGTGGTGTAAATTCCTGTATATATATATATGTAATATATATATAATAAAATATAATATAATATAATATTATATATATATATGTAATATAAATAAAATATGTAATATATGTAATATATGTAACATATGTAATATATGTAATATATGTAATATATGTAAAATATGTAATATATATATACACATATATATATATGTAATATATATATATAGCTAATAGCTATAAAATCTATAAAACACCAACACTTTGTGACTGGGCGTCCCGCAGAAGCGCCTCCGCTTGCTCCTTCTTTTGGATGGCCGTCAGTTGGTTCGCTTCACTTTGCAAACGATCCAGCTTTTTGGCTTCCTGAGACCGAAGAGATGGGATTGACTCTATACTTGGCAGTGGAACTTCATATGTGTACAGTAATTATATATGATATATGGCCTTTATTGAGGTCATATCCGAAGCTATGGTGTTTTTTGAATGTTATTACCATGACTCCACCCATCGAACAAAAAAAAGCAAACTAACTACACCTGCAAGTAGTGCCTAAAAATAACCTAGGTCGTCACCCTTTCGCCTGGAGTGCTTTTCATATGGCTGTGGAACAAAACTCTGGGGCCACTTTCTGTTCACACCAAACTAGCTGCTAAACGGATGTTCATCCTCCAAATATAAAAGTTATGGGTGTTGATCAATCCTCCGATAGAATAGACATACATATATATATACATTTAAGGCATTTGTTGGGCACATGAAGTGTCCAAACATGTCCAAACCCACACCGTCCTTGAGTAAATTGTTTCAACTGGTTTCAGCTCCCTTTTGGCGCCCTCCTTCGGAATTTTATATTTCATGTGACCTGGTCCACATACAATATCCAGGATGCACTCCGTTACTGTGATATAGTGTGTATATATATATATCCATGATAATTGTCTATGTATTATGATATCAACAACAAAAAACATACAACAATCACGACCAAAATAATTGTCATCATGTTTCATGACATGTATACAAAATCATCATAGTATCTGGCAATTTAGCAGCTTGCAATAGAACATCAACATTTTGAATACGTCAATCATCTACAAGTGGGCTGTTTTCCGAAGATAACTCTGAAAAAATACTGGAGGGTGAGTGAATTACGTGTGTAAAATCATCAAACGTGAAGCCGTCGCGCCGTGAACACAATTTGTTGCGGCCCTGGCTCTTCCAACTTCTTCATATTTGCGCGCATGGAGCGATAGTATCCTTGAAAGTTGGCAGGCCAGCCATATCAAAGCGCCGGAAACACTGCGAGCTGCTGAGTGTTTATAGCTCCACAATTATACCACACCCTTCTGGTTGGTGGTGCAATGTGCCCATCTTGAAAAATATGAGTTCGTCAATGGGAAGGATGACATCCCATATATGAAATGGAAAATAAAAATGTTCCAAACCACCAATCAGATAAATAGATACTGCCACATCTATACTTCCCATTGTGCAAATAAAATTATCCCATGTAATATATGTGTGTATGTATGTATGTCCCACTGTTGTATAAACAATTATAATCATTACCATCACCAGGGCTTATGGTAACTAAGTTAGTTTATAATCAATATGTCACTAGAGTTTATGATAGACTATTATAGATATATCTATAGATATTTCTTTAGATATCCATATAGTTGCCATAGGCTGTCCACCTTGTAGAATTCAGCCAACATGTTGTTTTGCTCAACAAAAATGCGACAAAACATGTCATGGGGATGTCATCAACAAATAATTCTCATACTGGCCACGCAATTGGGGGTTCCGCGGATCAGAATGGATGGGCCTGTTCCCCCAAGAAATTCTGATGAGTTCAAACAACAAGGCACAACAGAATGCTACCATAAACCCTAATTCTGAACATTTATCAACAGATATCCATAGATGTATCTATAATATTCTAAATCAACTGATATCTAAAGATATATCTATAGATATATCTATAATATTCTAATAAACCCAGGTAAAATATTGGTTCTAAATCAACTGATCTACCCGAGCCCCTGCATCGCCCAGGGACCCGCATCGCGGCCATAGGCTTCCAAGGGCTGATCCGGCAACGGAATGCGCGGGATCATCTTGGGGGGCGGTACGTCATGGTCCCTGCACGGGCAGATGCTACTTATGTACACCGAATACCCATATGCTCCATGTATGGTAAATCTACCAACATGTGTCCTAAACATCACCCAAATGTAGGTAAATATACCATACATGGAGCATATCGGATATATCATGCCTATGTCATAGTTGTCATAAGCGTTTTTTTTATGGTAGACCATATATGTGGAGATATTATAGATGACGATATGTTTGTATATAATGTATGTAGACATTATATATATAAATATTATATTCAGCCTCATATTTGATAATTGTGAAAAGCAATTACACCAACTGTCAGTTGACAACAACATGAATCGAGCACAGAGAGGGGAAAACAAAGTGGCCGAACACGATGGTTCTTGCAGTGTGCCAACATGTGTGACAATGATACTGTGGATGGTTGCGAAATCCTGCACCAGTTGGTAGATGGTTTGTCCCACTATAATCGCACTATTCAAAGTGTTTCATAGTTACCCAATATGGCTGTGAGTTAAAACCCTGGTGCCCGATACCCTATAATAGCTGGTTAATGGATGTTTATTCCTCCAAAAAAAACCAAACTCTCCGGTAATTTAACATGGCTATTGAAAATGGCTCATTTATAGATGATTTACCTATTGACATTTCTGATTTTCCAGAGTTATGTAACAGTTTATCAGAGTGTAAACCTCCATTTTCCTATGGAAAAATCCTAAGGTTTTCACCCTCCACATAGTTTCCAATCAAACGACCTAGTAGCACAATGTTTCAGTGCACCCAAGCCAGATACTAGTTGAGTTGTAACCCCAATGAATGTTATAGTGTTTCTGAGCAAGTGTGTGTCCGCCAGGTGGGGTCGAAACCTCTCCGACGCTGCGACGCTGCGAAGATGCGAGGCACAATGTATGTGTATATATATATATATTTATTTATTTATTTATTGATTTGAGTTGATTTTATTTGTATATAAATAATTCTATTGTCATTTATCATAGCTCTATAGTGTTTACATTTGTATATAAATCAATTGAGTTAACAATGGGGCTTCACCTAATCAAGGTGCATCATGGGCCGTTTATGGATGAAGAAAACCTACTGTGGATGGGCCAGCGAAATCCTGCAGGCAGGGTAGATGGTTTGTCTCATTAGAATCCCATGATTTACAGTGTTTGACAGTTACCAATAGTTGACAACTGGTGCAGGATTTCGCAACCATCCACAGTAATCATTAAAGATGGTGGTTTCGCTATGTGGTGCCCCCAAGATAGCTAAGTTGGCTTATAACTCAAACTTATAACTCCAATAACTAGGACTTATGGTAGATCAATCTATCTATAGTGAATGGGGCTGTAAACCAACTTAGCTCTCTTTTTTAGGCATTACCTTGTAGCTATGTTCAACTACCAGAGGGTATACGTAATATTACGTAATCCTGTTGGGGGATCAGTCGCCTGACCCAGGTCTTTTTGATGCCGACAAAGGAGTGGCTGTTGGTATCATCCAGTATGGTTACCATAGGACCACGGCAGAACTCAGCTCGATATGGGACTCCTATGGCGAGACTTTTTTCGCTCGCCGGTTGGGTCAAGACATGGCTTTGCTACGCAAGATTCGGCATGTTGGGAGAATCCCAGCATTCCATGTTCAAATTGCATCTTGTAAAAGGGTGTAATACTATAATACCCAACTTTTTAGATTTACCCGAATAACAATAATTGCTGGTTCACCGTGTATATATATAGTATATACACATCACAATTACAACCCATTGTATTCCTGTATGTTTGATGACCGGATCGATTTTTTACTGGCAATGTCGTCATGTGTCTATCAATGACTGAATGGCTATGGCCACGTACCTTCTCGTGCATTTCCCAAGCACATGTCAAGATGATGTAGTTGGGGGGATTCACCTACTACCAAGTTCACTACCTGGGGTTGTCCCATTTATATTATATATGCGGGTTATAACCCTAGTTACGCACGAAGTGGCATCTTCTATCGCTCAACGCCGCCACCACACCTCTCCCATGTCAAACCCTGTGTTCGAAATCACTATTGAAAGTGGTGCAACCCCTGTTAATCAGGGGATTAGGGTTAACATTATAAGGTGGGGATATTCTATTCATCCTGGCTACAATTCTTAAATGTTAACCATTTCCGGTCCCGCGGTGTCCGCGTTGTCCTGTGGCCCAATCGTCAGTGCTGGGGTATTCGGGACCCACCTCAGCTGTTGAAATTGTTGAGTAATTTTTAATGGAATGGAGGAATGGTCCAATCCATGACTATCACCAATCATCCCATTCCCCCATTCCCTACTAAGCACCAGCAACAAAGAATCTAGACTTGTAGCAGCTCCATGAACAATGCAACCAATCAAAATTAACCCCTACATTCACCATCACTTCAGTGACATTGCAGTAAAGTTGTTTTATGATGTTTTATGTATAAAATCCATTTATTGTGGTTGCTTAAATTCTTAAATCCCCATTTTGCTTGGTTAAATAATGTCAAATCAATTCACCTTGCTGAGTTCAAAGACAATTTCTTTGCCAAAAAGATGTGGCAAAAGACAGGCTGTTTCTGCAGCTGTTCTCGCCATGTGACTGTGATGGAGAAGTGCGTGCACTCTTCCAGGTCGTCACAAATCCCTGCGGCCTGACACAACGCGACACTGCGAAAACTCGCCGTGTCAGCAGTGTCTTGGTTTTTGCCGTTCTCCCCTAGCTGTAGTTGGATAATTGGATATATCTGCCATGATGTATATATATATATATGTATATATATATATATATACTGGTTGGTGGTTTCAATCTCTGAAAAATATGAGTTCGTCAGTTGGGATGATGACATTCCCAACTGAATGGAAAGTCATAAAACATGTTCCAAACCACCAATCAGTATATATATATATGTATATATATATATGAGAATTATCATATATCATATTATATCATATATCATATCTATAGTCTTAATAGTGATTATATATTTCCATCAAAAACCATCAATCAGCTGAAGTCAGGAACTGGGACTTAGTGAACTGAGTTGTACCGCAGCTTCAATCACTCAAAGGGACCTGATCTGAAAAAGCATCTGGATGATGTATGATGATATCCGATCTGAGTGGTTTTCTTCCAAATCTTCAAAATCAAGTATATCAAGTATCCCAGTATCCCTGATAATACATAGTGATTATCGCATTAAAAAGATGTTGCTTCAAAATCTTCCAAGCGTTGCTTCATGCGATCATCCTTTTTCAGGCCTTCCATGTTCCCATCAGCTGGAGCATCTTGTATCCTTAATGAACAGGATCCTTAATATTATTTAAAAAAAAACAGCCTGATCCAGCTGTTTCTTGCCAGTTATCTCAGATGATCTCATCTCAACTTCACCATTTTTGGGTACTTTTACCAAATTTTTAGTTGGTTAAATACACATTATATGCTATCCCAATAGTGCTTATTGGTTGGAATTCATTTAGCAAATTTAGCATTTTCCAATAGTGAACTCACCAGCATGTTTCAGCCGCTGAATGAACATGACGACCCTGCCATGAGTCGGGAATTGCATTTTCAGGGTCGAACTCTTAATTTTGGGGATGGTACAATATGGTTCCCAATGCAGTTGGTTGATTTGTAACCCCATTGACAAGTTCCATATGTCTACCAGAAGTCCTATAGTGAAATTTGAGTTATGTTCACCAACCTAGTTATCATAAATCAGCTATAAATCAGCTATAAATCAAAAAACAAAAACATCATGTAAAATCATAAAGGAAATCCCCATGTGCCTCGGTTAAATGACCATTCTTTCCCAACCACTTTCCCATAATTCCCAGAGTTTCGCTATCTTCGGCCGTTACCGCCTCCTCCACCGTCCGAACACCCCGGCGAACTTCCAGCAGCCGCAAGCGCTGGCCCTCCAAACGACCCTGGCCACTACCTGGTTCCGCCGGCGGTGGCGACGTGGGAATATCACACCAAAGCAACAATATATATATATGAGAAGGGGATATATGATATATATATATATATAGATATAGATATAGATATACTAAGAAATCTATCAAGTGGAAATGTTTGGTTTTTGATTGTTGGTACCCCTGGGATAAACCATAACCCCAGCAGTTAACCTTCTGGAAGGCCCTGGATTTTGGGGCTAAGATTGCGCTATGGGATCAGCCATCCAGCAAAGAATTCGTGTGGACTTTTGTCGCTGTGATTTTATAGTGATTGAAAGTCGCGTTGGTTGATTGCATATGATTAATATGATAATATGCTAATATGATAATAGTTACATTATATATATATAAATCATGCGTAGTTTATTCAATGTCTAGACCTTTGAGCAAGCCCGTGCAAACATCCAAACATGATGATGATTATTATTATGATGATGATTATGATGATTATGATGGTTATGGTGATGATGATGATGATGACGATGATGATGATGATGATGATGAGTTTGGAACAAAACATGAGGGAAGTCTGGGCACATCCTTGCTAACACTATTGACTCTTTTCTGAAATGTTGGGAATATCATGGGAATAATTGTTTATATATACACACTAATAACTAATAAGTATGTTTCTTGATACCCCATAGTCGCAGTAGCTAAGTTGGTGTATTTCACTAGGTAAACTGTTGCGTTCCTGCATCCATGATATCACCTTGGCACAGGGGGCACCTCACAACGAGCCTGTGATTATCCTTTGGATGACTGGTTGGTGGTATACCTACCCCTCTGGAAAGTATTAGTCAGTTGGGATGATTATTCCCAATATATGGAAAAAATAAAAAATGTTCCAAACCACCAACCAGATGATGTTATCATTAAGATTTTTTGAAATCAATGGATTACACAATTCGATGCCGTGTGCTAAAAACCGCACTTTCCCTCAAGTTACCGATTAATTCATGTTCCCGAGTATTTCATGGCCATTAATTGAGGCCAAATACGCGAATCGTGTTTATGGGGTATTTCACTCCAGTTGTAACTGGACAATCACCCCGCTTATCCCACTTTTTACTGGAATGTCACCCTGGAACCACCAAGTCCCAAATATGACCATGATTGGATACCAAAAATCTCCACATTGGGATATAATGGGATATAACCATTGAAATTCAGCGATTCAATCACCAATATATATATATATATATTTAGGGGAATATCATTCATGCGAATGTAATAATCATGTCATTAGTCAACAATATAATATCATGGGAAATCCTTATAAATGGAGGTTTCTAGCTCAGAAATTCGCCGAACTAATCCTGGAAATTTCCTAGAAAACCATGTTTGAGGACACCGGAGGGTAGATAGCAAACATATCCAAAAACCATAGTGTTGGAATAAATATCCACCCCCATGGAACATAAGTTCCTATTGAGTTCATTCACATATTCAAAAAAATAAACCAAACATATGATCATCTAACATGGTGCAGATGATGAGACACCAACTGTATCGAAATGATTTGTCTAAATGTGCGTTGTCCACATTATGTTCCATATTGATAAAGCATAGGATTCTCCAAACATGTCCAATTGTTAGAGCATATGATTACCATATTACCCTCTGGTTGTTTAACATAGCCATGGAAAATCACCATTTATAGATGGTTTACCTACTAATAGCATGGTGATTTTCCATGGCAAATTGTTAAATAACCAAAGGGTATAAAGCATATAATTTCCTTGTAAAAATGTCTCCATGAAATCTCCCCTATCCCCGAGATTCAAGCTGCAAATGGCGCGCGAGCCAGGACTGGGTGGCAGAACGATTGCAGGGATTAAAAGAAATGCTACTGGGACCCCCTAGTGTGAATACCAACACATTGTGTATATATGTCTACGATATATATATATCTATATCTATAGACGGTGTGTGTACATATATATATACATATTATAAATATATATATGATATATAAATAAGTATATTAAATGTTATATAGTTGTAAAATATTGTGGTTAAATATGTGGGAATACTACAGGGGCGATATCCATCCGTCTATCTATCTGCCTAGCTACCTATATATCTATCTATCTATCTGTCTATCTATCTATCTGTCTATCTATCTATCTATCTAAATATATACATATATACATAACTATAAATGAATATATCTAAATACTAAAACATTGTGTATATATGTATACTATAATATATATATATACGGTGTGTATACATATATATATATATATTATAAATATATATGATATATAAATACGTATATTAAATGTTCTATAGTTGTAAAATATTGTGGCTAAATATGTGGGAATACTACAGGGGCGATATCCATCCGTCTATCTATCTGCCTACCTACCTACCTATCTATCTATCTATCTATATATATATATTTATATATATAGCTAACAATCTATAAATCTATATATCTAAATACTAACGCATTGTGTACACATACATATGTACCATATATATATATTTATTTATCTGTATTTATAAATTTTAAACGGTGTGCATTTGTAAATATATATATATATATGATTATATATGATTATATATACAAATGATATATATATATATATATATGATATATATATATGATATATATATATATGATATATATATATATATATGATATATATATGCGTATATTAAATGTTCTATAGTTGTAAACAGTGTGGTTAAATATGTGTATATATATATAAAGTTGGTATATAAACAAAAATCAAATCAGAGGTAAGATACAGTTACATGTAGGTAGTGGGAAAGAAAATTAGTGGCACCAATATTTCGATTTGTATAACTGTAAAACTCTTGGAATTGTGGGAATATGTGGAAATACTACAGGGGTGATATCCATCCGTCTATCTGTCTATCTATCTATCTATCGATCTATCTATCTAACCTAATCTAATAAAATCTAATCTAATCTATCTATCTCTCTACCTATCAATCAATCAATCAATCTATCTATCTATATACCTATATACCTCTCTACCTATCTACCTTTCTACGTTTCTACCTATATATCTATATATATGTCTGTTTTATCTATATATTTCTGTCTATCTATTTCTATATCTACCTGTTCAGCTTTCAACATATTTATCTTAAAAACAATTAAAAAAATCTATCTATCTCTATCTATCTATTTCTATATCAGTATATTTCCAGACATATCCATATTTAAATGTATCATTCATATCTATATCTATCTATATGTACCTGTATCTATCTAAATGTAGTCTATACCAATCTCTAAATATATTTATATAAATATACCAATATATATATATATAGCTAGCTATCTATTCACATCTAATATCTAAATATCTATTTATATCTAAATATCTATCTATCTATCTATCTACCTATCTGCCTATCTACCTATCTACCTATCTACCTATTTACCTATCTACCTATCTATCTACCTATCTACCTATCTACCTATCTACCTATCTATCTACCTATCTACCTATCTACCTATCTACCTATCTACCTATCTACCTATCTACCTATCTATCTATCTATCTATCTCTCTCTAGCTATCTATCTAATCTAATCTCACCTAAGCTAATCTAATCAAATCAATCTATCTATCTATCTATCCATCCATCTATCTATCTTAGTGCTAATAATTGTGACTTGTGGTGCCCTAGTTCCTTTGCTTCAGAAAGTTCTAGTATCTGTTTTCTATTTTCATTTAGGCATCACTGGGCACCACAACCTTAAACCAGTGAGAAATCGGGTCAGAAGAACCAAGAAAAACTTGGAAAATTGAGAAAACATACTTGATTTTATGAAAATATATGATATGATTTTATTTTTGGAAACAAACTATTATTATTCTATTTTGATTTATGAAATATCAAATGATGTTATTTAATGGAAAGTAAGACTTGAAAAAGTCAGAAAACTTCATATCCTTTCTGTTCCTGTTGTTCTGCACTGATCCATTGCTGCCTCAAATTCACTCCCACGTCAATGATGCGAAGCGCCGTCATTAGTCTGCAGAGAGACACAATCTGTTCACTATTTTGGACGGCATGTACGGCATTGGGCCCACATAAATGAAATTTGTCCCATTTTCGTAGTACCAGTATATAGAGGTCTGTTGGAAGAACTTCTTGCATGCGGTATTCGGATTGTTTAATGTAATAACACAAAATCAACAGCCTATAGACCCATGGGCATAAGACTTAAGAAAACAAGTTAAAGTTTGGTCATCCCGCCTGGAATTGCACTTGCTTTCTACCTTGTGAAACACGTGGCAACATTGAGACTCCACAGTGAATGATCAGTATCCTCTGAATTCGAACCAAAGTGCATCCGGTTGTCACGCAACCTGGAAGCTACTGGACGAAAATCTCAAGGTAGCAAATAGTTGGCAATTCGGGTATATCCCATGAACAATCCCAGCTGTATTTGGAGCGAAATCATCCAGTAGCTGTACCAATCATGGAAATCACGTGCCACCTTCAACCACCCTTCGCCGATCTTCGCCAATGAGGTCTACATGGATGCTACTCAGCTACTTGCAGTTCCAAGTCTGAGTGAATATGTTTTGCAATAGATTTGAAGTTTATCCCAACTTTTGGGGGTTTATAACCACAGTAGTACCCTCAACTGCATCCCCAAGGACCTGTCCTGGGTCCTCCGTTGATGTTCATCGACCCTTTGCCAGTAAATATGGTTATTTTTTTTCGTGGGAACGGCTGCAAAAGCCAATCTGGTTGGTGGTTGACCTACCCCTCTGAAAATATTAGTCAGTTGGGCTATTATTGGCAATATATGGAAAAATAAAAAATGTTCCAAACCACCAACCAGCAATAAATTACCCAAAAAGATTCAATTCCCAATTGGAGCAACAGAAATGATAAAAGTACATTAGAAATAAAGAAAACCCATGGAAACCTCCCATGAAGAGAAATTCACCATTCATAACCTTGGCCACTTTTAGATACTCATCTCTCATCATCTCTCAAGCTGTCCAAGCGTTTGCAGCAAGGGACCCCTTGATCTTGTATCCAGGCAATTTCGCCTTCAGCTCCTCCACATCCTTCGGCGTCCTGGAATCTGAATGAATCTGATGAACGATCTGAATGGCAACTATCTAAAGATCATTTGAAGAAGTTGTCATTGAAAAGTCATATGACAAAGTTGTTGGATACAACTTTGCAAAAACTATATGATTGTTTATATGACTATAGGTACATAATGTAACTAATAAACAGTTGTTGATTCAAATATAAAGTCATTGAACATCATATGACAACTATCATCTGAATATCATCAGAATCATCAACAACATCATCATCGCCATCATAATCATCATCATCACCATTGATGTTTCACTTTATTTCCATTCAAACTGTTCAATTATCATTACTGTTCAGTGATCATTCACTTTGTTTCAAAGTCCTTTGAGAAGTCATTCACCAGTATAAAACCCCCAAATCACTCAATCCATGAGCATTAATATTCAGCAAGTCTTAACCATCGAAAAAAAATAAACAATAATTTACCACTATATAAAGGTGTGTTTTGTTACCCTTTATTTTTTTGTAGTTGATACCTTCCTTCAAACGAATAGAAGTATAGATGTGGAAAACCCAGCATGACAGTAGAACATCATTTGCCGAACAACCACAGGTTTTCCACATCTATCTTCGTTTACCCTCGGGTAGTTTTCGACTTGTTTAGCACCAAAATCCGGTCGATGCAATATACCCAAAATGAACAAAGTTCTGCTTGGTAGTTCACCCCAGGAATCGTGGAATCGGGAATTATATTAATCCACCCCGGTGAAATAACTCGACATCTCCCCTACTTATACTACACATCTTGCTATATCCTATTATTGTTGGGTTTAATAACCACTATGAACCACTATGAACCACTAATTAACCACTAATAACCAGTACTATTAAGCACTAATTAACCACTATTCAGCACTATTAAGCACTAATTAACCACTATTCAGCACCATTAAGCACTAACTAACCACTATTCAGCACTATTAAGCACTATTAAGCAGTAATTAACCACTATTCAGCACTGTTAAGCACTAATTAACCACTACTCAGCACTATTAAGCACTAATTAACCACGATTCACCTCTATTCAGCACTATTAAGCAGTAATTAACCACTATTCAGCACTGTTAAGATTTGTTAAGCTGTAGTTAGCCACTATTCAGCACTGTTAAGCACTAATTAACCACTATTCAGCACTATTAAGCGGTAGCAGGATCACTTTGGAACACAGTCTGAATCGTCACTTTGGAACACAGCCATTTTAGTCTCACTTTGGAACACAAAATCATACACATCATCAAAGCAATGCCAACCACACAGACATGAGATTTACTGACAGGCGCACTACTTTGGAAGCCTGGCGCGTTCCAAAGCGAGGTCAGGACCAAAAAAAGGCCTCCTATGAAAATTATAGCCGTTAGAAAGCCAAGCCTCTTCAAAATGCGCATCCACACTCACTTGCGCACCCAGGAGCAAAATGTCATTCACTTGCGCACCCGGATCATCTCTCATTCATGTTCCGGTGGGGTGGGGTAATAACGTTCATGTTCCTGTGCACACACAGGCACAGCAACCTCATCATCTTTCTTGCTGTCCTGCGGACACAGGCACTGCTCTTTCATGATCAGTTAGCGGAGGGGTGGTGTGGGGCGGGGTGGGGTGGGACAATAACGTTCATGTTCCTGTGCACACACAGGCACAGCAAACTCATGATCTTTCTTGCTGCCCCGCAGACACAGGCACTGCTCTTTCATGATCAGTTCGACGACGGCACGTACGCAGGGCGCCCGCGAAATCGCAATACCACATTAAAAAACGTGACCACCCACCCGACGCACACACACACACACTCATTACCAACATTTACGCTGCGGGTAAATAACCCTTCACCGAAAATAAAGAAACAGCAGGATCAGCACGCTGCACCTTTACGTAATGGTGATGATGATGATAATGATGATGATGATGATGGCGATGATGGTGATGATGATGATGATCATCATCATCATGATGATGATGAAGGTGCTTCTGCTGCTGCTGCTGATGATAATGATGATGATGCTGATGATGATGATGCTGATGATGATGGTGATGATGAGGAGGAGGAGGATGGCAAAGAAGAACAATCAGAAGCATGATGATGGTGCTGGTGATGAGGGTGAGGAAGCTGATGATGATGATGATGATACTGATGCTGATGCTGACGATGATGCTGATGATGATGATGATGGTACTGATGCTGATGCTGACGATGATGATGATGATGATGGCGATGACGATGATGATGATGATGATGAATATTATGATGACGATGACGATGAGGATGATGATGATGACGATGATGATGATGCTGCTGATATCTGCTGATGCTGATGCTGATGCTGATGATGATGATGACGATGACGATGACGATGGTGATGATGATGACGATGATGATGATGATGACGATGATGATGATGACGATGATGATGACAATGGTGATGATGATGATGATGAAGATGACGATGACGATGATGATGATGATGCTGATGATGATGATGACGATGACGATGACGATGATGATGATACTGATGCTGATGCTGACGATGATGATGATGATGATACTGATGCTGATGCTTACGATGATGATGATGATGACGATGACGATGACGATGATGATGATGCTGATGATTATGATGACGATGATGATGATGATGACGATGATGATGAAGATGCTGATGATGATGATGATGATGGTCACGAAGACGATGTTGACGATGTTGATGATGATGATGATGCTGATGATGATGAATATTATGATGACGATGACGATGAGGATGATGATGATGATGACGATGATGATGATGATGATGATGATGCTGCTGATGCTGATGCTGATGCTGATGATGATGATGATGCTGATGATGATGACGATGACGATGACGACGATGATGATGATGATGACGATGACAATGATGATGATGACGATGACGATGACGATGATGATGACGATGATGATGATGACGATGATGATGACGATGATGATGATGCTGATGATGATGCTGATGACGATGATGATGATGATGAAGATAACGGTGGTGATGATGATGACGATGACGACGATGATGATGATGATGAAGATGACGATGACGATGATGATGATGATGCTGATGATGATGATGATGACGATGATGATGATGATACTGATGCTGATGCTGACGATGATGATGATGATACTGATGCTGATGCTTACGATGATGATGATGATGATGATGACGAGGACGATGATGATGATGATGATGCTGATGATTATGATGATGATGATGATGACGATGATGATGATGACGATGATGATGATGATGATGCTGATGATGATGATGATGATGGTCACGAAGACGATGTTGATGATGATGATGATGCTGATGATGATGATGATGATGATGAATATGATGATGACGATGACGATGAGGATGATGATGATGATGATGATTATGATGACGATGATGATGATGATGATGCTGATGCTGATGCTGATGCTGATGATGATGATGATGATGATGTATGGCCTTAGACGGGGATGAAGATCGTGATGATCAGGCGCCTTCCAAAGCGATGCTTGATACCGCGTTCCAAAGCGACGCATTTGAACGCGTTCCAAAGCGAGGGCCTAACCCTATTAAGCAGTAATTAACCATTATTCAGCACTGTTAAGCACGAATTTACCACTAATCAGAACTATTAAGCACTATAACTAACCACTATTAAGCTCTAATTAACCACTATTCACCACTATTCAGCACTAATTAACGACTATTCCCATGTGTTTCAGGTGTTTTCCCCGTTTCCATGTCCCCTTTCGTCCCAGGTGCCACACCGCTTTCTCCACCTTTTTGACGACTCCATAGGGCCAGCCAGGTGGACCCTTGTAGCGACCATTGGCATCCTGAAAAACGGGAGATGACCTGGCGGCTTGGACCTTATCATTATGTATAACTCCAATCACTATGGTTTATGGCACGCAAATAACTATAGTTATGTGGGTTTATAAGCCAACTAAGATCACTGGGGGGGCCCACATTGTTAACAATATCTATCAATGGGATTTTCGGGATCCTAAAATGGAGGTACCTACCATATATATATATAATGGAAGTACCAAATATTTTCAGGATCCTGGAATTCCCATTGACAATATATAATAATATCATATCATGTATGTATACACCTCAATTGTTAATAGTTTATCTATACAAACATAACTATATTCATGTAATTTACAGAATGATAATGATAACAATATGATAACGATATGATAACGATATATGTATATATAATGACATACCATGACATATATACATATATATATGCATGATGATAGATCTTTATTTAACAAATGGATACTTTCCTGAAGAATCTTGGGACATTGTGAGCTGATCCATGGGCGACTCGCATCTGCCAATCTGGTCGCAGATTGAAGGATGGAAAATGTTGAAGCCTGCTGAAAGATGTACCCTGGGTTATGACAACAGCTCGTTGGTGGTGCAATAACCATCTTGAAAAATGATGGAGTTCGTCAGTTGGGATGATTATTATCCCATGTATTATAGGTTTTATCCCATAGATCTATATTAATCTAGATCTATTTAGCCAAATATATCCAAATATTAATTATGGAAAAAATAATGTTCCAAACCACCAACCAGCCTATGGTTTCCCATTTGGAAAATGATATGTCCATTCATCAACTGGTCTGTCCAGCCCACAATGATACTTTCAACTCGTAGGGGTTCAAACCAACTCACCAACTTGTCTTGCTCTTAAACATGGCACTTCAAATGTGCCCCATGTGCAGCCGAAGATTTTCCCGTGAAAAATCTATTGAATAAAATTTTGGGATTTCCTGTTTTTTTTTCCCCCTTGCGGTTTCTTACTGGAGGGCAACCAGCGTGAATTAATACGGTCAAAAGGAGTTCCTGGAGTTCGTTCTTCCCTCGGCCCGGCTTCGCCAAGCTTCAAAGTCTGTCATGGCTAGCTTAGAAGATTGAATTTTGGCCTCCAGCAGTGATGCTTCAGCGCCAGTCTTACAAAGTGAAGCCGCCTAAATAGGTACACAGTTGCGTATAACTATACTTAGGTGGGTATAATCTATAACCATGAGTAAACGCAATACTACTAAGTTGACTTCTATATAACTTGCTTAACGTTTGGGTTGATTAATGATTAATATATATATCTATATATATATGTATGTGTTTTAATTATTATTATATATATATTATGATTATTATTATTATTATTATTACTATTTATTGATTTTATGATTATTATCATTATCATTATTAATCATAAATATTATATATATATATATTTATTATTATATAGCATTCATGGGTTCACAAACCAACACACATTTCACTTTTGGGGCCTCACCTTTTACATCCTTTTATCATATGTTTGAAGCCTGCTGGATCTAACCCACTTTCGGACACCTATGCTGCATGGATCTTTGTTCCATACTTTTTAAGTTTCCAAATGGAGGTGGGTGTCTGAGAATAGGACACCCCCAATTCCAATGATTGTCATCAGTATCCCCATTAAACCAATCTGTTTGTGGGTATCCCATTCTCAGACACACCCAAATGCTGGCTTTAGCAACATCAGCTGGGCTGCAGCAGCCAAACGCGACAGGAAGGGGCCGCAAATCTCATAAGCAAGTTGGTATATACATGATTTTGATAACTTGGTTTCATGGTGGATATGCATAGACATCATGAGTGCAACGTACATATATATATATATATACATGTGCATACATGACATGTACATACTATACATTAAAAAAAAATATATATACATGTGCTTGTATATAAATACATACATTCATGATGTATATATATATTTATACAAACCAGCTACAGTATATTATTTGTTATTAATATATATATATATATATAGATAAATAAATATATTCGATATAGAAAATGTAAGATAGACCAACAAACCTAGTTGTCCTGCACCTGCTCCTCGGCGGCTTCCGCCGCTTTCTGCGCAGCACTTTGGATGGGCCCAGAGCCATCACAGCCTGGGGAAACGCAAGGTTTTGATGCTGGGACAGGCTGGGAATGATCAAAAAAGCTTCTAAACACAAGGAAACAATGGTTGTGAATAATGATCGTAATGGATGATTATAATGATAGTAACAGTGATATGAATTCCTAATGAATACAGTAATGAATTACATCATAACAATTTATCATATGTTATCATCATATGGTGGTGAATAATGATTGTTCTGAATTCCAAAAAAATGAGATTTTTTCATCCATGTTTCATTATAAATGGACGATACCAAAATAGTCTGACAATTATGGATAGATAGCAGCACAACCAATCAAAAATGGATGAATAATGATAGTAATAGATAATTGAATTCATCAAAAAATGATGAGTCATGATGCCAATAGTGGATTACTCTGAGCAGTCTCACAGTTGAACATGATCAAAGCTGGATGTTTTGCATCAATAATGTGCCATGAAAAAGTCAGACAGCAATGGATGAATAATGATAGTAGTGGATATGATTGGATTACCATACTGTAAATGTGTAGCTGTGGAAGGTATGGCCAGCTTATAGGATTTGCGTATTCAAAATTCAAAAGGGTGATTCTCCATAGCACGATGTTGAATTGCACGTGATTGACTTGACATTGAGGGAATGCTTCAACACTTTGGAATCAGCTCATCCACAACCATCCAACATCATTGCTGTTGTGTAAAGTAACCACGGCTACGGCGCAACACCAACACTTTCTAGACATACAGTATTAGCAGCAGTTTAGTAAGTCAAACTCAAGTGAGAAGAGAATAGGTCCTACATGAACATCAGACTCCCTAGGGATGCAAAACTACTCATCCTATGAACCCTTTTTTTTGACGTCAAATACTCCCACAACACAAAACAAGTCCAATACCAGGTAGTGTGAAAAACATTGCAGGGAATATCTTACCATCCATATGATCATACCTATCTAGAATTATTCTCTATCATATTATCATCATCCATTCAACCAACATTTTACCATGGAAAGATCAACATGTTCAATAGCTACAGCCATGGATGCCATGGTGAAGTCGCCGAGCCGCCATAGCCCAGCTTGCACTTCAGCTCGTTGACCGTTGGAAATCTCCATGGTGGATCAAAACCATGAGCTAACAGGGTGCCTCGGCGACTCGGTGCCCGTGACTATCTACCCTCTGGTAAATTAACAGTTCGACCCTGGCAGTTGTCGGGTTTGGAAGATTAGTTTCCACTAAAACTAGGCTATTGATCGATAGATAGATACCCTCTGGTTTGAGTTCTGATACTAAAGGATAGATACTATGGTCTATGTTAATTTACCAGAGGGTATCTATCTATCTATCAATCGATCTATCCTTTAGTATCCCATCTCATCCTGCTGTCAAGAGCACCTGCAGCCACATCCCGTGCCTGCTCCTGAGCGTTGGAAACAACGGCAATACATATATTTGTATAAAAGGCATCAAAAGGCAATAGAGTTGGAGGATGTGGAAGAAAAGCATCTTGAAATCATTCAAGGATGTTGAAGGACGTTGAAAGCCTCAACTAACGTTCTTGTATGTAGTTTTTGTTATAGAAGTTATAGCTGAAGGATGTTGAAGGGGTCAAAGATTTTGCCTTGCTCACACGTCAAGAAACTGTTCACCCTGCACTTCAAGAAGCTGTCAAACCTGCAAAGACTCTATGAACCTAGGGTTTGATAACGAGATCCAAGATCGTCCAAATAGGTGTCATTTGGGTTGCAGCTCTCTAAGCACAGCAGCTTTCCAAGCGGCAACATGGACAGGTTGTCCCATGAACAAAACGTCCAGAAAGTCTCGACAGTGACATTCCAAACCAAGATTCCCAAGGTAAGCCTCGAAATGGCATGGCAGCTTAGTTCTTGTGCCATTCCCACCAAAGAAACCGATGGAAATCCATGGCGGCGGATGAATCTAGAGGCGCTGACTTCATCTGGAAGGTAATGAAACTGAAACACTTGTCGGATACACTTGGGGTGTTTTTTTTCCTGCAGCCCAATTGCAGAGTCTTTCGCTGCACACCTCTTGGTTTAAGCTCCTCTTGTTGTTTCAGTTCGTCCGTGGGGAACTTGAATGCTGGCAAAGCGAAAAACTTGTTTCGCCATATCAATGTTGGACTCTGGTCTCAACGGCTTGCAGGGATGCACTGGATATGTACATGTATGTTATATATATATATATATTGTAATTGTATATATATATATATATATATGCACACTTCTGCTTGTAACGATATCATATCTATGTACTACATAACTACATACAAATAATAATTTATATGTAAGTATATGTATATAAAGATATTACACACACATATAACACACACATATATATATAATTATATCATATATCATATATATAATATATATATATATATATCTTATATGTGGGGCCCTCATATACATAATCCCAACAGTAAGTGCCAGAAAATGCGTGGACCAACATATTCTAAGAAAAACATGACCGCACACACACAACAGCCTCTTCCGATACCCTTGCACAACAGCCTCTTCCGATCTTCTGAGTTAAGATCAACACATCCACAATCACAATCAATTCCCATTTTACGATTGTTGGATCTTGTTCATGCTTCAAAATATCATCCAACTACTATGGGTTTTCCAAAAAAAACAGAGGAAAGAAAAAACACACATAAACTGGTTGGTGGTTTTAACCATCTTGAAAAAGTATTAGTCAGTGGGAAGGATTCTCCCATTTATTATTAAAAAAACATGTTTGAAACCACCAACCAGACAATCTATGTAGGTAATTATCATGGATAATCTATATGCTAATCTATATGATATGCTAATCCTACATATGGTATAATCTATTTCAAATGGACAATATCAACCCATTTCACAACCTTTTCCACCTCTCTTTCAGAAAGGCGAAGTCTGCATCCCCGCTGTAGCTCCCAGCGTTAAGGCTGAGTCCCCCAACCCAGCTGCGCAGCTGCGCAACAGGTAAGAGCCTTGGGGAATTGGCGAAAGGGGGTTTGGGCTGTTAGACCCTATTGTTTTCTCTATAATATATGTGTATCAATGAATCTCTCTTTATATATATATGTGTGATTGTATATGTGTATGTAAAATATGCAAAGATACATGAACATGTAGATATACATGAACATGTAGATGTGTACATGTCTACAAGTTTCCTTTGCAAAGGTCAAGGTCCAGAAATCGCTGGAGCAAACCAGCTGCTCAGCTCGAACCCTGCTGGTTTTTGCAGCAACTTCTTGGGCTTCCGTGCTGCAGATTGCCTTAGTGTGTGCAGCACAAAAAAAAACACCCAATCATAGAGTGAAACAGTTTACAACAAACGGACAACAACTCACAGTTCCAAACCGACAAATGTATGTATATATATACAAATGTAAGTTTCATAAAAATGGGGTACCCCCAAAACATTCATTTATAGATGGATTTTACATGAGATAATCCATCCAGCTTTTGGGGGTACCCCCATTTATGGAAACCTTCACACATATCCATCTATCTGTCTGTCTATCTATCTATCTATCTACCTATCTATCTATGTATCTATCTATCTATCTATCTATCTATTTATATATATATATTTGTACACATATTGCAATATATAAATATATACACATATATAAGTCACTAATGTGAATAATTTGCACATACATATATATATACATATATAAATATATATATATATAGGGAAGCGTTTGATGTATTGCTATTATACATAATATGTGTATATATATATATAGTCTCACCGAAACCCCGCAGAACCACATATTGAGGATTAGGGTATACACATACACTATAATGTGGGTAACACAATAATAAACCATCTCGTCTATGACATTATTTTACCCAAATTAATTATATAGTGATCCACATATAAAAGATACCATTATTATACACTATAATTAAACACATACACTATAATTGCACACTATAGTTTTACTAATGTAGGTATATCACAAGTATCACAATATATATATATACCTATTATAATTATCACATTGTTATAGTGAAAATTAAAATACATATACATATATATATACATACACACCTACAACTACAATGTCGTGCCCCCAAACGATAGCTAAGATATCCCCCCAAATATCCAAAATTAGAACATGTTAGTACTGAAAGCTATGGTCTTGCAGATCCCCAATTTTAAAGAAACCTCCATATATCCACTCAGATATATAAAATTATATACATATACGATTAGTGGGTTATATATATATATTATAATATAATATATATATATATGTGATAATATGTGATATATATAAATGTTATATATGTATATATATAACATATATATACATACATGTATATATATATATTATGTAAACCACTTATATCCACTTATTATCTTTGCAGAGGTAAGAAACTGCAGCTCAGGTTGCACATTTTTGCGGATGGACTGTTGCCCAACAAAAGTGCGCGATGGACTCCGATGGACCAGCGTTTCTCTTCCGACAAATACGGCGTCCAGGATGAGCGACCAACATATACCCTCTGGTAAACTAACATAGCTATGGAAAATCACCATTTTTAATGGGAAAATCCACTATTTCAATGGTCATTTTCAATAGCAATCTGTTGACATAACCAGAGGGTACCCATCTATACCCCAAACGTTACCGCGTTTTCGTGAAGAAAAACATGGAAAGATATGGCAAGAATTCTCCGAAATCGCCTCGGCTTTGGGGGCTGGGTTGGTGTAAAAATGTTGGTTTACAGTAGCAGTATATGGAAATGTTGGTTTACAGTTGGTAAATCTTTTGATACCTGGCAAAAAACGTATTTTTTAAATGGTTAGGACTAAATAGGACTAATTTTAGTAAAATTGATAGCAGAAGATTGAAATACTAAAGTATCTGACCGGTTGACCCAGTCTATAATTACAAGAAATAGGATTTGCGGTGGATATACTGTATCTACACTTAGATGAGTGTATAAGCCAACAAACACAACTGGGCCTTTCTCTTCTGTCGAGGGTTTGAACATTATGTGTGGAAATATATCAAATATGTATAAATATGTTTGTTTAAGGACTGGAGAAATCTCCTTTTACATGTTGAGAGAAAAGAAAACGCTTGGAGGATACAGGCCTTTGTATGTCAGGAATCACCTTCGTGCCTTTTCGAACTTCCCTTGGGCTTCTGGAGTACCCTAAGATCCCATTTCTCATCATCTATTTTTCCCCATTGTAATTTGTTACCCTCTGGTAAATACTGGTAAACATACCAAAAACATCCAAAAACTATATTATATGGAACATCACCGTTTTATAGCTGGGTAAATCAACTATTTCGATTGGGCCATGTTCAATAGCTATTTTGACATAACCAGAGGGTAAATTTGATGTATCTCCCACAGCACCAAAAGATTGGCAAAATCCAGGGGGCTATCTCTGCCATGCTGGTCTCCAGTTGATACCAGCCATGTTAACGGGATCCAGCGATCGTGGCGTGCAGTGGGTTTGTGTTCAAATGACTTTGTCTGAAAATTGGATACCACCAACAAAAAATATAATCAGTTTATCAGTTTATCATCATTTGCCCCATTTAATGGCCATAATCTGGGGGATATATACATATATATATACATACATACATACATTACATTACATTACATTACATTACATACATACATACATACATACATACATACATACATACATATATACATACGTATATATATATATATATAATGTTCAGACAAAGCCAAGCAAATGCTGTGACAATTGAGTGAATTTCCATCATCCTGCAAGCCATTCTGGCGACGTAGCCAAACGGCAAACGGCAAGGCACAATTGTCACAAGCCTTGCGTGTTTGCGATCTGGAAAACTCAGCACGTCGAGTGAACATTGTCACTTGAGTCAATGGAACATAGTGAGAAACATGGCAGTGTGTCAAAACCTTGTACCCCTGTAGTTCACATCAAAATAGCTGGGATTTATGGATGTTCATCCCATTAAAAATGGTATTTTCATAGGTATTGATCCATAGCCACATGTCCATTGAGGTGAAAAGACCAAGATCTGTCCAAGTATTGCTTGAAACACTCGCAATTGGTCTTGCTTGATTTTTCACCGGAATCTGGGTGATTTTGTAGTGGTGGGAACTGGAAATATAATGAAATAACATATATATATATATGTTATGTAGACAAATATATATATATATATGTTTGTAGCAACCCAAACAATGATCAAAAACATAGTTCACTATGTCAGAAATATTTTACTTTTTGAGGGTTACTATTCATATGGGGGTTGTCCAAAATACCTTTTCCCGGACAGCCCTCAATCGCTCAGCCAATCGCGTAGCAACCGCGGTACCACAGTGAGCAATCGCGGAAGGGTTTGTTCTTCGTTGATCAGATCATATACATAAAATATAAGTTATGTATTATATAATGAGGATCCATGCCTGAACGCATTCGATTTCAAATTTGGGAACAAAATAAGCTCGCGCGGTCCGGAAACGGTCCGGAAAACTCACAGTAGTACCAGCAGCAGTAGTACTAGTAGTACTAGTAGTACTAGTAGTACTAGTAGTACTAGTAGTACTAGTAGTACTAGTAGTACTAGTAGTACTAGTAGTACTAGTCGTAGTAGTAGTAGTAGTAGTAGTAGTAGTAGTAGGAAGAGTAGGAGTAGGAGTAGGAGTAGGAGTAGGAGTAGGAATAGGAGAAGGAGTTCTAGTAGCAGGGCAAGGGAAGAAAGGGAGAGGGAGGGAAAGAGAGAAAGAGAGAGAGAGGGAGGGAGGGGGAAACAGATGGTTGCGTTTGACCGGTTTCTGACGGGTTTCTGACTGGTTTCTGACTGGTTTCTGACTCGTTTCTGACCCTTCAGCGGAACTCGTGTCAATTGGATTTAAAAGCAAGAGCAGAAATTCCTAGGTGTACTAGTGGTAGTGGTGGTG